GGCAATAAGCTCTTTTAGTCGCCTCTTACGACAGGCAGGGATTACCGTGGCCGTATTCTCTATTCCCCGGTCCACAGGGATCAATAACTCATTAACCAAGCTGAACAAAGCCTCAGATAACATTTTTGCTAAGGAAAAACTTGTTTCAAATCACCTCGCGAGTCTCCCATTTCCGGGTCCTCCAACATTTTTGTTACACCTTGTGTATATATATATATGTGCATACATACGTTTATCGCTTGACATACTTAACCTAACTTTTACTTAATAAAAAAGGAAAAGTCAATTAATACATTCATTGTAAAAAACATGTCAAGTACACTGACGTGGTTTATAATTAATATTTATGAAAACTGTGTATTTCTGTAAATACACCGTAAAAACAATATCACTTTTTTGAAGTAGTAATTCTTTTATTTTGTTTTAATTTGTAAAAACTATTTTAACAATGACAAAAATAATTGGACGCGAACTTTTTAATCAAATTGATAAAAAATATTATACACTCTATGTAGAATGGCTTGAATCATATTTTAAAGTAATATTGTTAGAACCAACAATGTTGCCATTATGTGGTAAGGTTTGTATGTAACTTTGTAATCAATGAATTGGTTAAATGGATCTCCATTATGAAATTCCAATATTTTTCATATTTTGTTGTCTTATTCAAGTAAAACGATTTAATACTACAGATGGATATTAAAGAGATGAATTATTTTTGCAAAGAACTAGACCAATCATTTGAACAATATGTTCATAAAACTAAGGACATACTTTGTGGGAAAAATACAGAGATTCTATTTCTTATTGACGACACAACCTTACGATGGAAGGATAATATGTGGATTCTCGGAAGAATCAATTTAAACCCTATTTCCGACATTAAAGTTATCTCAGAAAGCTTTCAACAATCTTTGAAGTTTTATCAAAATATTCAGGGCAGATTATTAAATAAACTCGAAGAAGAAAATAAAAATTTAAAGGATACTAAAGCAAAGTTAACATCAGATATAGAAAAAATTATAGAAACCAAAACTACTATGGAGCAGGATATGTATAAAAAATTTATCCTAATATTAAATTCTAAGAAAAGGAAGATACGGGAAATACAGAATGCTATTAAAGAGAAGCATGACACTAAAGAATCAGTTTTTGATGTATGTACAGATGAAAGTGAAGCCTCAGATGAAGAAAATAAGAAAAGCAAGTTCATTGATAATAAGAATTTTCCAGCTATACAAAGGACTACGGTAACCAATCAAAAATCTAGTCATGAAGCATTTACTAATAAAGATTGCACTGAAAATACCATAAAAGTTCAAGAAAATTGTACAAAGAGAGAAGATGATTGCACACTAGCAAAGCTGGGTTGTACATCTGGCACCAAAAAATCAAGAAGCAGTTTAAATTTTATAGAAGAAGAATCAGAGGAAGAATTATTCTCTCAATGAATTTTTCTGCATATAGATTGTGCAATCAATTATTAAAATTTGTTTTCTTATACTTTCCATGTAGATAAACGATTTAATCATTATTTATTGAAACAATTTATTCTTCAAATTAATGAATTGTATATAAAATATTTTTTACAATGTATTGTGTTGCACAAATGTTCAATTTTTAAAGTAGAAATAATATACTTTTATAAAATATTTTAGACGTCTGTCTACGAAAATTGAATTTCAATGAATTGTACATAAGAATTATTTTCATGAAAATTCATTCTATTCTGTTTTGTGGAGTATAGTATATTGCTAGACCAAGGGTAGGTTGGTACTGCCATGGGGGCAAGATGAAGTATGCGGGATAAGATAGTACTGATATGGAGGCAAGATTAAGTATGTTTTGTTATTGTCATACTATGAAAACTGTTATATATGTTATATTATTAAAAACTGTAGATTGACACATGTAAAGGTAATCGAAAGTAAAAAATTCTATTTCCTTTTTTTAATCGGAGGTCTGTGATTTTTCCGAAGTCCTTCGTTTTTTAGAATTTGTTTCCTTTTTCTCTTCAGCTATTTTTTCCGAATCAACTAACTCTCTTTTATACTCTCTGTCCTTTGGTCGTTATCTTGGGGATGGGTATAATGTCCCTTGGCGAAACATTGAAGGCAACATTTAAGTTGCGGCATGCTCTTAATGGTGAAGACGAATTCACTATTCGCGTCACAGAAAGATCGTCTTGGAACAGGGTCTTGGTTTTCCGATGGCAAGTTTTCGCTACAAGGACTAGTTTCATCTTCTATTGATGGCAAAGTGTTTACTCTTTCCGTGGTTGGAATTATTGGAATACTACGACCTTCCGATGAAGAAGTTGTAAGACATGTATCATCCAGGTTCGTTGTTGTGTCGAGTGAATTGTTTGCTGGATTTAGGATAATTTCAGTGGTTTCTGCAGCAGTAAAATCAAAATCATTAAATACCAGCGAATCGTAGGGACAAATGCCAATTTCTTAAATCCGTGTATTGTTGTCCGCATAGTTTGCATAATTGCGGCTTGTAAAAAATCTTTGTTCTGTTATGAATCTCGCCCTCATCTTGTCGCGGCGTCCAGCGTAAGCTTCACAAGTGTGAAATTCAAATTGAGGTATATGATTTTAATTATAAAAGGAGGTGGACGTGAAGTTGGCATTATTTAAAGTCAACTGAAATCAGCTCTGTATTCTTTTAAAATGCATATTTCAATTAATTAATATTCGTTTAGGAACGTATGTTTTAACAGTCGAATTTCGCTTTTACTCTTTCGCTAAAGTATATTAAATCATATCAAATATGTTAAACACTTGAAAATTAGAAAATCAATAGCTGAAAGAAATGTATTAGCAAATCAGAAATTATTTCATAATCTAATAATTATTTTATTGGCTCCTGGTATCTAAGGACATATTGTAATTAACAAATGTAACAAAAATGATCGTTTTGTAAAGTAGCTCCTTTACATGTAAACAATATTTTTAAAAGTTTGACATAGTGAAAGGCAATTAGGGAACGAACATAGTATATAAACAACTTATTACATTAAAATAGAGAAATATTGATACAACAGAAATTAGTTTTACGATGAAAAATTATCTGAATCATATTTATCACACGTCACAATACTAATCATTCCAATGGCGTAGAAACTTCTGTTGGGTTTAAATTTTCTCCAATCATTCATTTTATTTACCCAATTAATACAGATACAGTTACTAAAATCTCGCCAATTTAACATACTAATTATACGAACATTATACAAACCCGAACAATAAATAAAAATTATCAAGTACTTATATACAATCACCGACTAACAAGCGCACAAAATCTATACCTTTCGTATCTTGCGATATTGCGCGCCCCCTTCCACGAGCCAGAAGATAACCTCTCGAATTTCACGAAACGAGTTGACGCCAGAGATATACGCAAGTAGCGTGTGCTTAGGAAATAGAAGTGCGTTCGTTTTTATTATTTCCTTGTTTTTTGTCGTTGACATTCGCAGTTTCAGTTCAGTTATCAATTGTTTCTTTGTGAAACGATTGCAGAGCACTTATGTCGTCCGATAAATCTATCGCTCAGGATTCAAACTACAGTATTGACATTGGAGGTAATTTTTTCATCAGAAAACACCTATCTTCAAGATTAAAAAACTATTTATTAAAGTCACTAACGTTATTTTGGCAGACGAATGTGTATCATTCATGTTCATTGAACTCAAACAATTGAATTAACGATATTTTTACAATTCGAAAAATTGACCTCGCTGTGTGTAACTAGAAATAGTATTTGTGCAATGACCGCTGGAACACCTGTTATCAAACATTTGCTCGTGATAATGAGTGTCGTCGTATCTCACAAGAGTGTGCTCGAATGACTTGTATATTAACATACAAAAATATAATGAGGCCATTAAATGATATGAAATAGTTATATCTAATACTAGTTTCAAATGTTAGAGTATTGTCGCAATTATAGTTCATCCAACTTTTTGTGGGATATACAGTACTGGTCATAGGTATAGACATGACTGTGGTTTTATAATTTCAGTCTTTATGGACACACGTTCTTACATTTCCATTCATTCGATGTCAGTAAATCGAAAATTTCGAGTTGTTCCGACACTTCTGACCGGTACTGTACTCGACATACGATATCTCACGCAAAAATGAGGGAATTTTATTTGCATGCATTGGGACTTTTATAAAATGTGCTATATAAATTCGCTTAAGTAGTCTCTTTCGAATGCTATATAATTATGCAGAAGTTTCTTTCACTCTTTAAATTAGTTCAAAAACCGATCTCATGATACGGCCTTCAAAACTGACCGCGTGTTTGTTTGATGTCGTCAAGACGTGATACTTTCAAGGTTTCCAAGTTTAGGAAATAGAAAAAAGTTGGTACAACGCCAACTTAGTTGAGGTATGGCTAGTGGTTGGGTCCGCGAACAAGCAGGCCCAAAAATGTTTGGTCTTAAATGATACGTCTATGAATACCAGGAGTTTAAACAGTTTAGCAAAGTGTAGTCGTAGCGAAACATCTAAATTGAAGATCGCGTTTAAACTTTCCAAACAGTTTCAAGCTTTAAATCGCTTTAATAACGATACACTCTTCGAATTAGTACTTTTATAGGGTCCCAAAATAATTGCATCAGATAGGGTTGTATTCCATATAGATGCACATGATTTGACTGTATCTATTTATGCTAAACAATTCCTTGGCAATGTTTATTTACACGTACAGGAATGCGAATGAAGTATAAGGATAAACAGGACACTTTCACCGAGGATCGCCTGTCGAGGAAGGAGCCAATAGGACAGTTCAAAGCATGGTTCGAGGAAGCCTGCAACACTCCGCAGATTTTCGAACCGAACGCTATGTTCCTCGGAACAGCTACCAAGTAATATCGTATGACTGACTTGCTTCGTTGACAAATGGTTCGCGGAAACGTTAATGTGGTTCTTGCAGAAATGGTATACCGTCGGTACGAGCTGTTTTGCTTAAAGGTTTCGGTTCGGAAGGATTCAAATTTTACACGAATTATGAGAGCAGAAAGGGCCGCGAGTTAGTGAGTGCATATTTTCAATACAAGTAGGCGGAAGAGACACTGTGAATCCTTGAATGTTACTTAAAGGAACCACTATAGTCTGTCGAAACTCAATTCGCTGTTCAAGGTCGTAGAGAAGTACCTCCCCAAGGGAAAGGTAGATATTGTTGTCACCTAAGTAGACTTCTGAGAGTTCACGGTATCTCTATAAAATGTTTTACATGAACTTTGCACGGTATGAAAACATATTTACGAAATTTTTTTTTAGGCTGAAAATCCGCATGCGGCACTGACATTTTACTGGGAACCCTTGAATCGGGTGGTAAGAAAATATAATTTATATAGAACCACAGCCTATTAATTATATGTGAAAATTGCTATGGATTCACGAGAATCGAAATGGTTTCGATAGTTATTCAACGGTTTTTAATTGACGATGATCTTTAACGGAAGTTGAGCGCCTATAACAGGGAGCAAAGATTGGCTGTTTCGAGATTTGGAGACTGGGAACGTAAGAACCGGAAAAAGGTCTAAATCTTTGCTCCCTGTCGTTCGATTAAATCGTTTAGTAACAAAGAATAGCTGAGCCACGAGAAATTGAGAGGTAAAGTAGGGGTAAAACGTCAATATCTATTACAGCTAACGATTTTGATCCGACTGTACTAGGTTCACATGTATTATTATTATTCCTTAGTTACTGTACAATTGTGTAGGTTCGCGTAGAAGGCAAAGTACAGAAAACATCAGCTGAAGATTCGGATCGTTACTTCCAAAGCCGGCCGTACTCAAATCAAATAGGATCAATGGCCAGCAAACAGAGTAATGTAATCGCAAGTAGGCAAACACTAATAGTGAAAGAAAGGGAATTGATGGCTCAATTCCCAGAGGGTCAAGTTAAAAGGCCGGAATGTTGGTAATTAATCAGATAAGATTCCACAGATGATTATATAAATATTTGATTCTATACACAATACTGTTGAAAGCTTACTTCCTACCAAACAACTTATTTTCCAGGGGTGGATACATCGTAATTCCACACTCTGTGGAATTTTGGCAAGGCCAGAGCGATCGTTTGCATGACAGAATACGGTTTAGGAAGCCCAAACCCAACGAAAAGATCGATAATATTCTTGTTCATAAAGGGGACAACGGATGGGTGTATGAAAGAATATCACCGTAGTTACTAAAAAGAAAAATATAGTTATTTATTCTTTATAAGTGATATTAGTACAATAAGTCCTTGGGAGATAGGTAAAAGTAGAGACAGCTACGGGTTAGATTTATAAACGGTGTTTGCGTAAAATTTTTAGAATTTCTCTTTGCAATCCTGAAATATATATGTATATATATATATACAATTACTGCTTGTTTTGAAAAACATGTCTATGACATATTGATGCTAGAATTAAAACAAAATCAATTAGCCATTCAAAGCTACAGAGGATTTATTCTTACTATGGTTTATTCTCAAATGGGTTTGACATGATTTACATTAGGGGTTATTTTGAGTTCTTTTGAGTGACTAATTGAGTTTGATTTGACTATAATTTTTTACCCTGACGACTTGTCCAGACTACTTCGACTTCGAAAATACCATCTTCCTCTATGAGGCTTTGAAACTGTCTCATCCCTCCTCCAACACCGAAATAGAAACTTTTAGCGGCAATGAACCTAAACACCAAATGATGCAATGTTATGTACCGAAATTTTTATTTTTTTCAAATCTATATATATATATTTTAAAATCTCGATTTATGTTCATCTATATTTTTCCACAACTAATGCCCAGAAAATATCTTTTCAGCCCTTGCCAATAAAAATATCCACTTAAGCTGTTATACTTGCCCTACACCATCTCGTTTAAGTCTTTCTTTAAAAACTTCATAAAGCTTCCTATGATTTTCAGGATTATAAATCGTTTCACATGTAAAAATTAGATCGTACTTCGCAGTCTCATTTTTATCATCCACGTCATATAATTTCGTAAACGATTCCCAGTCTCCACAAAAAAATTCACATCTTTTTAAAACACTTTCCCGGTCCTCGAAATTTATTAAAACATTTGGAACCGTTACGGTTTTGACTACATCCACGTTCTGTAAAATGGTTTATTTATACGAAAAATTTTATCGAATTCTTCGAAAATTGCAATATCAAGGACACGAACGTAATCTTGAAAATGAACAACGGAATTTTTTAGAAGAGCTATCAGACCAATGACACCGGCACCACATCCCAAATCCAACACAAGCTTGCCTTTAAATTCGACGCTGTTTTCGAAGACATAGTGACCTAGATCGTAACTACACTCCCATATTTTTAGGCCACCTTGATACAAGAATTCGAATGATTTATGAACTTTGCATTGCTGTTGACGAAGAAAGATAATGCGTATGCAATAATAAACAACGACTTGTATGTTTGAATTAAACATTGAGTACCTTCGTACTTGGCAGGAACAAGGTCGGAATGTTGCGACTCTGCCTCTAGAATATTTACACAGTTTTCCTGTATTAAATTTTCTAACGCTTTTTCAGATCGAATTAATTTTAATTTACAATCCGGAAATATTACACTTTCCGTATAATCACTCGGTTCGAATTGTTTTTCAATTTCCGATTTCGATATTTGAACTTTCGAGGCGGGTATCCAATTAAGGATCGATTTTTTCATATTGGCATTATCTTCTGAAATAATTACACTAATTATGTACAGTTTTTTTATGTAACTGGCGTTAACACATTTTACTGAGACTAAATTGAATAAAAGATTGTTACAAGTTTAAATTCATACGTTTAAAAAAACGCAGATGCGCAGAAGTAATGTGACGAGGTCATAACCTTAAAGAATATTTTTCCACGAATATTTCAATAAACCAACTAAAAGATACAGTATTGTAAATACCTTTCGTCTCGTTCTCTTTCAAAAATCCAAATTTGAACATGTTGATTTTGATATTTGTCTGAACACTTGTCAAAGCAAAACAGGAGAACTATCAACAACACTGTCGAAGATAAGTTTAGATAAGTCAGGTCCCTACTGAAGAAGGCTTCCGGAATGCAGCGACCTCTGAAGATTGTTGGACGAATGTGATTTAAAACAGAATTTATGTAACTTCTTAATATGCATAAATAATATACACGATATTAAATACAAAATAAAAATGTAGAAGATTGTAAATATAACATTTATGCCTACTACCTTGTTATTAATTTAATTAAATCTTCTAATCCAGAATTTGAAAACAATTAGTTTCTTACACTTTTTTCAAGTATTAATGTTTGGGTACTTTTTGTAACTTTCAATGTTTTTTGTTGTAAGTCTGAGAAGTCTGATTATATCCATATAATCATAATAGATACAAAATTCTCAATTTTCTCTTTCAGCTTAATGAAATTTCTAGTGTTCTTTTACCAGTGTTTTTCTGACAATATATTTCACGAAAGCAGTAACATTTAAAATATTTAAAAATATTAGCTAATATGAGTAATAGTGGTGTGGATTAGAAAATTAGATTAGAAACGCCCAGTTTCTAAAAAAGGAAACACCGTAAATGTTTATGAACGATGTTTATACAACAATAACCTGATACATATGTTACAATTTTTAAATATTTGATCACTATATGACGATTTAATGAATTTACCAAGAAATATATCTATCATTTTTGTCATTTTTTTTCCTTTAATCTAATCTTTTGAAATGTTTAGGGTCAATATTAAAAAACAACCAGTATTTTTAAAACCATTTCGGTAACAATAACCTTATTGACTCATTATCTTCAAACTGTAACTTTATAATTTAACTATTGTAAAACTACGTCGTCTTCCTATCCGTGTGAAATTATTTATTTATTTCTGATGCAATGTACATGAAGTCTACACCAGTTAATGCGACTTAACGATCTTTTAAACGATGATTAATTGATTCTGTAGAAATTAGATACAAATGAAAAAAACAAACAAACAAACTAAACCAACACGTTATAACTTGCGAAATAATTAAAACGATCAGAAATCATATGTACAAAATTGACCACAACTCGGGAAAACAATTGTCATGTGTCACAGCTAGATAAAGAATACACAGAACACGTTTTACTTCGAAAGTATCTGTTAATTATTAAAACGTTACGCGTTCTATGCATTCATGACACTAAGAAAATTCATCCAACAAATTCATACAGGCCACTATGAAGGCACTCGGTATCACAAGCAACGATCAGACTGTACGATAACAATTCGTAGAACCCGAAACTCTTTCAATTTCCAAAGGACGAGGAAAAAGAAGATTCATAAATTCATTAATGAAACACTCGAGTATATTACACGTATAATAATTCATTCGCGGTTCGTTGTGTAATATATCAATTATCGAATGCACGCTCATACTTCACATTAACAAAGATACAATTATCGAACGTTATATCTTATCGCTCACAATTTCTCGGAGTATTGTGCCCACTATCGCTTTGATTTCTATTCCATGATCAGATTACGAAACGATTATTCTTGCGTTAACACACGCAGAGCCAAAACCGATTATCGACTGAAGAAATGGGGGATTCGCGCGTGCGGTTCGTTCTTGTTTTCGTGATACAACGATCCGTAGAGGGGAGAGGGTTAAAAGACCCAACGTTCGCCTCCGAGGGACTTCCCGGCCACGTTCAATTTTTCGTTTAAAAGCGGACGCCGTTTCGCGATTCACGTACAGTTACATTTTTAACGTGAGCTGCTATGGTACTGGTGATCATGGGATCATCCATTTTATTCGTGTCCACAATCTGTGCCGCGATCATACTCGCTACGTTCAGTAACAGTGTTCTTGGATTACCAGTCAGTTGGGAAGATTTTAAAAATAATACTGGTAAATAATTTTTATCTGTTTAGCATTTGGCTTTTGGGTTCTTCGTTAACCCTCGAAATAGGGGACCACGGCGTACGGTAACCGGGTCCGACCGGATCCGTGTTACGAATTCATTAATAGGGTAAACCAACCAGTTGACTGCATTCTATCCCGAACAGGCGTCAGGCCCCTGTTTTGCGTATGTACTGTTTTACGTTATACAGGGCGTTCCATAGAAGTGTTGCCACAAAATTTCAGAATTTTTCTTATAACTTAAAAACAAATTGTGTTGAACTAAAGTTTATCTATCTACTAAGTAAATCTGAGTTTTTCTATCTTCATTCTTTTTGAAGATATGTATGCTACCTTTTGTTTTGTAAAAGTTCTTCAAATATTTATTATTAGAATGAATCATGATGAATCCTACGACTATAAATGTTATTAAAAACAACACAAATAACATACACTCCTGTTCAGAAGTATTAGGACATTTATCGAATATGCAGTAAATGTTACAAGTCATTACAAACTAGCTGAAAATCCAAAAGAAATATTGTTTAGGGGATAAAATATACAATTTTTACGAAATATCAAATTTTCTTCATGTTGAAGTGGGTAAAGTGGTATAAAACAATAGAAATTGTCCTCACTTCATTTATTTAGTACATTTGGTAAGCGCGAATACTAGTGCAGTGTTGGTGTTGTAACCTCGGAGGCTTACCATCGACTGCCTACTCTCGCTGCATTTCCTAAATCCCTCGGAGTTAGAAAAGGCAAAAATATGGGAGAGAAAAAGAAAAGAGAATAGAAAAGGAAAACTTGAGAAATCAGCGACAGCAATAGGGACAGAGGAAAAGAGTCATAAACAGAGAAAGCTAAGAGGTAGGCGAAGGACCGAGACTAACGAAAACCAGAACTCTGGCGACGCTCTCAAGGATGCGTTGGAAATTAGTGAAAGGGCCTGTCACCAAATGTGCGACCAGCAGACAGGAAATAGAGAATAATAGCGTAACAGAGTTGAAAAGGAAAGAGAAATTTTTAGAAGCAAAATATACATTGGCGTGCGTGGTGCTACCACAATGTAAACAAGGTGTCCTATCATTTGTAAGCAGTAATGTATAAAAAACCAATAGAAGTTGTGCAACGTCGCGGTACCTTTGTACCTTTAAGCCTTCAATTGTCTCTGAGCTCACAATTTCTGCTGACTTCTTGTATGCTATTTCTATTTTTTCGTAATATATTTACAATCGTTAAATGAATAGTAAAATACAAAGAATAACATCCATATCTCCGAAAAAAATGGAGATAAACAAACTTTGATCAACAGAAGTTATGCTCACTTAAATATGGTTAAATTTTTTCCCAACACAATTGTTTGTAAAGTTAAAGGAAAGTCCGGAAATTTCGCGGTAACACATACAGGACACCTTGTGTGTATGTACAGTAATGTCTCGCTAAGCGCGACATATTCTGATGCACTTCGAAGTATTCCTGGCAAGGCGGAAAAGTTTTCAGTCCTATATAAATTTTTTTTTTGCCCGAAGCCGAGCCTCTGGTTAGCTTCTGTTTACTCTGTTTTGATTGGTTCCACACGGGGACTCCCTCAGTGGTGAGAATTGCGCCGTTATTCGTGTTGCATTAATCGAGGAATCACTGTATATCTTTTTCCCCACAAATGCTAGCGCTACAAGAACTAATATAAATACCAAAAAAGACAGGATAATAAATTTGCAAATTGTAAATAAATTATATATATTGAACATTCTGAATTTCTTGTCGTTCCCATTGCGAAGGTAGCATCAGGAACACTGTGGGAATTTTTGACTCTACATTTGTGGAAATTGATTTTGTAACTCTCACATTCTGTGTCATGCCTATTTGTGTTAAATTTGTACACTATATGTGTGTGTGCCCTTCACTATTTAATAATAGCAACAATTACAATTTCGTCCACTTGAACTTCTGTAAATCTTTCAAACTTGAAATGTTAAACGTTTCTTTATCCTTGTAGATCTTCAAATACTTTCAGTTTTGTCAGTTTAATCTTACTGTAATCTAGATGTGATATCTTACAAATCAAACGTAATAAACATGACTTTCATTATTTAATAATAACAACCATAACTTCGATTACTTAAATAACTGTAAATCTATATAAATCTGTCAAATTTGAAGTGTTAAACACTTTTTATTAAAATCTTCGTAGATCTTCAAATACTTTCAGTTCTGTTAGTTTAATCTTACTGTAATATAGATGTAATGTTTTACAAATTGAACGTTTTTTTTTATACGTATTGTATCTGAATAAAATTTTAACTATTATAATAAGCCAATATTGGTTATAAAAATAATGAGCTCAGAAAACCGATGCTATATTGGATTATCCAGAAATCGTGTTTTTTATTTATCTAGATGCGCTGAATATAATCACCAGAGAAGAATGGAAAGCCAGACCACCGATCAGTCAGGTACTAATGGAGACACCGGTGCCGTACGTTGTGGTCCATCATGGAGGAATCGCTCACTATTGCCACGACCAGAAGTCCTGTTCCGCGATCGTGAGGTCGTACCAAAATTATCACATTGACGATCGCGGTTGGTTCGACATCGGATACAGCTTCGTCATTGGCGAGGATGGAAATGCATACGAGGGTCGAGGCTGGGATAAGGTTGGAGCCCATGCACCTGGTTACAATTCCCAAAGCATCGGAATATGTGTCATTGGTGATTTTAGCGGTATGTGTCTATATAGTAGAAAGTCAATTGTCAGAGACTCCCAAATACAGACTCGTCTCGATTATCGTCCCGAACACGGGTCCGCGCTGGGACAATAATCTTGTAAGGAGAATTGCTTCAGACCCTCGTAAATTCGTTTTTTGCTTGAAGCCGAAACAAAGTATGCGCTTGACAGTGGTGGGAATAACGCCTGGACAATAATCGTGTAAAACAAGCCAGACAATAATCGAGTGAAGTTTAGATTATTGGAACACAGAACGAATGGATGAAGATGATATTGTTTTATCTATTTTTATTAATGCACAAAATTGTAGATCTCCTAGATCAGATACTCGAAAAATTATCAGAATGGATTTGACACCCTATTAGTTCGGATAATTGAGGTTTTGTAATTCCAAATTGAAACTAATCTTCCACTTTTAAATTCAGTAAATGATAAATTTTGTCAACTTTGAACTAATTTGATCCTGATTGGAACAAACATCTTTAAGAAATATAAATGTTACTCTATTTAATATGTTTTAACAAGAATAAATAATAAATTTACGTTAGTTGTGACGTACCTTAAATCGAAATTAAACGTAAACATCGAGGAAAATTATGTTTGTTTTTTGAATCGTTAATTGCGATGTACCTTAAATTGATATTAATTATAATAATCGAGGGAAGTTATTTATAATGTTTTATTATATGTGTCAATAGCATGGAAAAAGTAAGAAAGTTTTTAAACATAGGAAGTAAAAGTAGAAATTTAAATGATAAATATTCGGATAAGTGTTAAACGATTCTCCGAGTATGCTGGAAATGGTATTAGGAAATTTATAATTCTTGTACGAAAATGCATAGATTAGTTATAGGATAAATATTATTTGTAATTCATATTATTACGAAATGTTTAATCTTTGAAGAGGAAGTTCTTAGATTAAAATGTTTGATTTCCCTGTGCAGATGTTCTTCCAAACGAAGCAGCGTTGGATACTCTGAACAAACTCATCGAATACGGAATATCTCTGGGCAAAATCAGCGAAAATTACCACGTTGTGGGCCACCGACAGGTGAGAGACACAGTGTGCCCCGGCGAAGTATTCTACAAGTACGTGCAAACACTTCCACGATGGACCAACAAACCCGTGCCGAACTATACAACGACCCTCACAACCGTAAAACCAGTCGCTGCTGTGAATGAAACCAGCTTGAATACAATTAAAAACACCTAACGTTCACGACGACCATTTGAGAACAGTCGGAAAATATTTATAGTTAACGGTTGTTTAAGCGTGAACAATCGATTGTCAGAAAATAACTGTGTAATCGGCGTTGTATGTCTGACATATTACAATTTTACAAATTTTACATGATACGAAATCAAAATGGCGTCCATTTCAATTTTTAGAAATTGTTCTTTTGCTACAATATACTTTTTTAATACTGAAACATGCACATCGGTGCTACAAGCATGTTTCGTACAGCTGTATATAAGTCGGTTGACATGTCAGTGTAAAAAATAAACATTATTATCTCGCATACATTATCATAAAGGTGTCATAAATACATACTTTAAAACAGTGATGAGCAACAGTTTTTTTCAGTAGGTTGTAACCTTCTTTTGCAACGGGTCAATCGTAATCTGAAAGAACCTGATTTATTAATTTAAAAATCTTTAATTTATAAGGTGGAATTTTGTATTTAAATAATTGGAGGGCCGTGGATTGCTCATCGCTACTTTAAAGCATAGAGTTCTATGCTTGCAACTAAAAGCTCATTTACTCATAGTATTTGTATTGTATAAAATTATTGAAGAGATTTTGTGCATTAGTTGCGTTTCATTTCTGTTTAGAACGAATTCTATTGAGCAGAGATAAGTTATTAATCATAGCGTGTTATCGTGAATATGCAACTTTCAATTGTTTGATGAGTCATAGTTGTCGGTCGACTGCGTTACGATTTAGTAATCCTAGTAAAAGTAGTTTTTAATGAGCAACGACAAACAATGTTCCTGAGAACTTTATTTCTCATTAGAGTTCTTAATTATAATATATATTATATATTATATAATAAGAATTATATACTATACATTATACGGTCTTTATTAAAATATGTACATACAAATAGCAGTGTATTCGTAAATAAAGTTACAATAATTATAATTATATTCAATCTATCAATATTATGTAAAATAAATCAGTCAAATTGAAATGTTGTGGAATTATTTTAATTTTAAAGAAAACTTGAATCCCTAACTTGTTTTAGTGTACTAATAATATTAATGCTACAAAAGGTTGGATATTTTATGTTTCTAAACTGAATACTTTTCATATTTTTCATTTTTTCATAAAAATAGTTTATTTCGTAACAATTAATTTTTAAGTTGATTAAGGATACAGAGAATACAATTATTAGTGTTCAAATATAAAATATACCAATATTGTAGCTTTTCAAAACTTTATGATCCGAAAATTCAGTTCTTGAAAATCAAAATTAATTTGACGTTCTTTAGTACACTTCATAGTACAGAAATATCTACTTACATAATTATTAACTACTAAAAAATAAACAGACGTTAATATACATCAATGCAAATTGATTAAATTGCAAATGATTAAGGAAACTTCGTTCAAAATAAACTTCCTCGATGTACCAAAAACACTGCGCGAAAATTTCTTCGATGAAAACCTATAACACAATCTGAAGTTATTCTACTGTATGTTGTACTGAACTTTTGTCGATGACAGTTGTTATTAAATGTTGTTCGCTAGGGAAATACCGAGTTGAAGCCGATAGCGACCAATCTGCACATGCATTGAACTGTACACACATGGAATCCCCTCTTTTGTGGGCTCTGGTGATCAAAGATCAAGAGTTGGTGTCAATTGTAGGAGTCTGCCTGTTATAAATAACTGGAACTTAAATGTTTCAGTGTTAGTGTCTCTTAAACCGCAGAAGATGGACAGATCAATCGTTGCTTTCCTCTCGTTGGCGATTTTACAAGTTACGTTTGGAGCTGTACACCAAATCCCTGGTAATGAATTTCTTTTGATTTTATTTTCGACGTTGATTCGTAATAATTACTAACAATTGACAATTAATATTACATTTTAAATTAATATTGTATTGCAAGTCGAACATCGTGACATTGAAATTGTTAACCTCTTCAATAATAAGAAGAATGTAATTCAACACAGTTTCTGTCTTTCTGTTGCTTTTTATTTACGCAATATAACGAACATTTATTTGTAAAGGTGGTTGTTTTGTAGTTTGTTTATTTATTATATAGGTAGACTTTTTCGTTTGTATACAGTTAGATCTGCAGCGTCCTAATCTTATTCATAACAGGAAAAGTGGGCAAAATATTGTTGAATCGAGACATTAAGGTGACTTCAATTTCATGTAATAGGATGTAATTAGCCTTGAAATGACCTGCCTTCATACACACATTCGTAAATAAAAAAGCTATACCTCGTATATTTATAAACAAAAATATTTATTTTATTGGATTTCTTATTTAAAATAATTATCATTTTTTCTGTATTAAATTTTTATAATTTCTACATTGTATAATAGTATTAAATGTACATATAAGTATTCAAATAGGTAGCATCACTTGATATAACAAAATGGACTAATTAGACGTGCTAGTTAAATGATAGTTGACACGTGTTTTTCGTTGTAGTTGACTCAGCGACACGATTGGCAACCTCCTCTGCGAAAGTTTGATAATTTACTGTTACGTCAGTACGATGACAGAATTAACATTTGAGAAGATAATTTTCCTCGCCCGTGAGTTATGTGTGTACGAGATTCGATCTTCCTACAGAAATCATTATTCCAGTTGACGCCTTCGAACGTCATATGTACCACGATTATCAAATAAAATGGCGGCGTGTAGAAGGAAAGTGAATTTTATATGAAATCGTTCGATCTTTTGCCATAAATAAACTGTTAGAAATAAAATTAGATTAAATCTTTATGTATTGTAATATAATTCGTGAAAATAGTTTGAAGGTATGAGAATTGGTTTATTTAGGTGGTTTAATATTGCGTGCTAATTATAAGTTCTATATTCTTTATTACTTTTAAGGAATTCAGATTTACTGTATATCTAATTTTCTTTATGGAATGAAAAAGAATTCAGAAACAGTAATTTTAAACACGATGATTTAATTGTTATACCTTTCCGTAAAGTAACATTTATGACAAGATACTACTTTTGAGATGAAGATAAAAATTTGAGATATTTATAGAAAAATAAAAGATTAATTGCTTATTCGGTATTCAATTTTCTATAGTTCGTCCAAATATAATATCGAGGGCACAATGGGGCGCAAAATCACCGAAAATTCCCATAAGTAATCTCGCGACAGATCCACCACCGTACGTTGTGATTCATCATTCAGCTACTGACTCTTGTACGATGCAAGCGATCTGTCAAGCCAGAGCAAGAAGCTTTCAGGTAATCAATGTAATGGAACAATTATTAGAGTCCATTTTTGTATGCACCAGTGATATAAAATAGTCAATAAGGTTCAAAAGTTTGTATGACAAAACATACTACATGACTAAACTTCCATATTCTTTCTCGACTATCATCTTCCAATTTCTTAATAATTTTTCACACACAAGACTCATAAATTGGAACTTTTCATCTGTAATGGGTGAATTTATATTACCACAGTTTGATACCGTATGATCCTCTGCTAACGGTTATTGGACAGCAGCTTCATGGACGCCATTTTGGTACCCACAGAAGATAGTCTTACTAAATATCTTACAATTCAATGTTTCTTTGCATTTTTGCTTCTTCATTACTTATAAAACGCCGAATATAAATTGTGTATTTCAAAATCAAGGAAAATTATTCACATATATACCTTCATTTAAAAATAATTCCTTAAAATGTTTTTTGAAAATGGATCTTTGAAAAGGAATTATATACGGAATTTGGGCTTTAATATACTCTTTATGACACCTTCGAGAATAGAATATTTATAGACAGATATGCGGTAATGTTAAGTAAAATAAATTTGCTCTCTATTTATAGAACTATCATATGAATGACAAAGACTGGAGCGACATAGGCTACAATTTTCTAGTCGGGGAGGACGGTAATGTGTACGAGGGGAGAGGATGGGGTAAACATGGAGCACATTCGACCCCCTACAACTCGAGGAGCATTGGAATTTGTCTAATTGGCAATTTTGTTGGTAAGCTCATGGTTGTTTCAATAAACTACATACAAAGTTATTTAAGCAAAGTTTAGCAGAGAAGTAACCGATAATACGTAACAGAAATATGAAATATATGTTTAATATACAATACTTTTAATGCTATAAGGTGAAACATTCAACACACTAAACTTAATTATTTTGTATAGAATACGATTTTCAATATTATAAGTTGAGACACTAAACATACTAAACTAAAAATATTTTTGTAATTCCGTCTTCAAGTAACTAAGAAAATATTAAATTTGAAAATACAGAATACTATTTTCGATACCATAGTTTTGTAATTCTGTTTTCGTGCAATTGATAAAATATTAAAGTTGAAGTTATAGAATGTTTGTATAAACTGATTGAATTTAACGCCTAAAAAATTCTATAGGCGAAAAACCAAAAGTAACGTATTTGTCGTCTCTGTTCATTATAAGAATTATATTCGTGGAGGATCAAAATAATACTTTTTATGAAAAACATTACAGGTCACGAGCCAAACGCAGCAGCAATAAAAGCAACACAGAGCTTAATAGCATACGGAGTGTCTATAGGGAAAATACAAGAAAATTACACATTGTTAGGTCATCGTCAAATTACGAGCACGTCCTGTCCAGGAGACAGCCTCTACAGACTGATTCAATCTTGGTCCAACTGGTCACCAAACGTATAATAGAACTAGCAAACCCATAAAAATAATAAATTTTAGATCTATTATTTTACAATCATCGAAATCGTAAAATTGATTTCGTCGGAATTTATGTTGATCTTTAATTTATTGTACATTTTACATTATAGTATATTATGCTGAATTGTATTACATATTATATAATTTAATGTAGTATAGATTCAACAATGGTAGTTCTAATATTACACGAGCTTCACCATGCAATATTACTATAGTATTATATTTTACATTATGTTTCGATCGTCCTAAGATAAATGTACTTTCTTTCTATTACAACGTTGTTCATTATTGATTTTTCATTTTCTATATTCACACGTAAAGTGTTATGATACCGTTCACAGAATTATCATACGTGTCCTCCTCAGTCCTTACACAAATATCCACGTGCGAGAAGTCAGGTGAGTTTGTTTTAACGTCACTGTAGTGACTTCTGTCTCTGACCTAAAAAAAGATTATGAAATATAATATAGTAGTGACTTTGGTCTCTGATCTAACAGTAAATTATAAAACAATTATAAAATACACATATAAATTAGTAAATTGTAAATACATCGATTTATGTAAAAATGTATAATTACTAATATTTTAAAAACAAGTTCGGTTAATATTCGGTGCACCAATAAGTAATCCACTATTTTCCTTAATGGATTAGTAATGTGATTTCAAATCAAAACATTTTCAAACTCTCTTCTTCTTTTCATGATATTATTGAAATATTATAGAATAAGCTTTCGATTTCGTAGGAAATAAATGTTATACTTAACAAAACATGGTCGATTATTTTTTGGTACACCTAATATTATATTGAAAAATGAACAATATTATAGCTGCATTTTTTATATATTCGAACAATGGGAATGCTTGTACCTGAAAGGGAATTTGGCGACTAAATTTTGCATTCAGCTCTGGAATGCACACTTTTGTCCCGTAAGGAATACCTGAATCTAGATCCATGGAGAGAGTTACAAATTCGGTACGACCATCAAGGAAATCCTATGAACAAGACACGTTATATTTGTGTAATATAGTTTTCTTCATAATCCTCTAAATCTATATTTTAAAAAATTACTGCTTTTTTAAATTCCTTATATAATTGTATAACTGAAGTAACACTGAAAAGGAATTTAATGTTATTCTATTCAATAAATCACACTATACAGGTAACGTCATTCAGAAGGAGAAATTGAAAATCGAATAGAAATGGCTGACAAGTCTGTCCAATACTGACTGTTTCCACTTTTCATAAACGTTGATGATACTGTAGTATGTATTATTTATTTTCCAATGGTCTGATTAAATCTTAATTCTGAATTTATACCAAATTATTGTGAACAATGATTAATATTGTAGTACTGTTAATATTTGTAAACAATTAATAGAAGTTAAAATAATTTGTTATGGATATACAATAGGGCTAACAATTACAGATACATGAATGTAAACCCAAGACAAATTCTGGAATTAGATTCGATTGAAAATGAAAGTTTGTATAAAAACATTTTAGTGAACACTTTAGTTTTATTTTTGCACACACAATCACTTTCTTCAGGATTGTCCAGTGACTTACAGAACACACTGTATTTCTGGCGTTACCTGTAGCTATTATCAGTTAAAAAGACTCTACGAAATCGTTTCAAAAACACGAATTTACTACCATAGTTTTCTATTTAACTTCAGTCGAAATAAATTGAAAAACGAACCTGTAATGTTCTCAGTTTCTTCAGTCTGGCGTCTAGGTAGTCGAATTCGTCATCACTGGTAAAATCAGGATAATAGGCAGCCATTGTCACATTATGGTATGCATGACCGCTACAGTTGTAATCTGATCTGTTGAGACTTCTCTCTAAAACCAATAAATATCGAGATTTCAATTGTATGAAAAAAAGATTATAAATGTGGAAGATATTATCTATCTAATTACCACTTGCGAAGGCAATTGAAACAACAAGTGCTATTATTGACGCAATTATTGTCTTTTTTTCCATTTTATCAATCACGAACTTTAACTTTCCACGGAACAAGGACGATGGTGAAATGACTTCGAAATACTGATTGGTATTGCAAATTGCGAGGTGCAATGTGACTGCTGATCTCAGCGTGTTGAGCATTGGAATTTGTCAATCAATCGGTAATTCAAAGAAAGTAAATTTATGACATTAATATATTCATGGCTATACAGATTTCGAGGTGAATTCTAATTTATGAGATGATCTGTTGAACATTCAATGTGTAATTAACTTCTTGATCATTAGATTTTTATTTTTCAATTCGTAATGATTATATTATATGTATATATTCATCGTTAGATTTTTATTTTCTATTTTTTAATAAATATTACTATATCAGTGAGTAGATGAATAAAAATTATTGAAATGAATTATTGAATTTAACTTAAAAGACAACTGAAGTATCAAAATCAAGGAATGTCAAGTGACACTCTACATATTAAATGTCAATAAAGTGGCAAAACATCTAAAACCGTCACCAGGTATTTGTTCTTTTGTAGCATTGGTATACTATCATACTGACTGATACGTTATCATAACATTCAAGTATAAATTGAATATTAATAGCGTTTCCATCTGATTGATATAGCACAGTACTTCATTCAGTGACTCAACGCATGAACTCCACTTAAATCTGTCATTCATCGCATTGATTGTGACGTTTCGTTAACTTCTTCACTCTGACCCTAACGACCAACAAATGTGCACTATACTCTTCATGAATAATGAAAACCACATTTGATCGGGACACGTGGAAAACTACGCTCAGCCAGTCGAGCAAAAGACACCGTAGAGTTTGTGCATACGTGCTTAACCGCGAACGTTTTCATTATTATGGTCATCGATTTTTATAATGGAACGCGAGCCACTCACCAACGAATCATTAATTATGGAGCTTTCGACACATTTTGTCTAACATGGAGGACGCAAAGATGGTTTGTTGATGTACAAAGTATCCTGTATAAGCGTTCCACGCTAGTCGAGCCTTTAGATTGCACAATGTGATGTAAAAAAAGAGAAAAAAATTTATGTATATGACCTAAGATATTGCAAAATTCAGGTTATTGTTCTATCCCTTCTCACTCCTATACTATATGGATGATTCCTATACACTTAAGCTATGTTCAATTGTTTAGTCAAACTTTATTTATATATTCCCGATAAAAAATTCAATTTTACGTGAAAATGGCTATTTACGCAGAAAATTATAATAAATTAAACTTGTAAATATTCCGTGCTTATAACGATGATGATTTAAACAAAGTTAAGTTAAAAACTGAACAGTAACAAAGAAGGAATAACATTTGAAAATGTCGCCAGGTATATAAATCATTTTCTTTGCAGTATGGATACATAAGTTATCACAACATTTAAATATAGTTAAGAGTGAATACTATTTAAATTGCGAATATTCTACAGCTGCTTCGATCTTAAGTATGAATAACCCCAGGTCTTGTAACATCTACTGTTCGAACTACATTTTTTAAGATTTCTTATACGATTCTTTGTTAATACAATTTAATATATTATTTATTTCCCGAATAGATTCTTCCAAGCAGTGAATGTCTTCAGATTGATCCATATCATGTAAATTTTCCGCAATTTTCCTCAGTTGCTCTGTGATTTGAATGCATTTCATTTGTATAATATTTGTCCTGTTTTATACGAGGAACACGCTTGTTTTTTTAGTGAAATTCTGTCAAGGCCGAGTGACGCAGCTCCGAACAATTACGAATCTTTCCGCGCACGTCGAAACTGTTCTTGCATTTCACGCGTTAGAATATCGTTATCGAGCAACTTTCGCGCGAAAACGTTGCACAACACGTTTCCTCATTTTCCATTATTAAAAGTAACATGTAAATTACAACGTCGTCGTTGCGCGCAAATAGTTTGATCCGAAGGGGGTTCACCGAGAGAGAACGTTTCACGTGGCTGGCCTCGCGCATGTATTTTTCAGCACACAAGTGACGGGGGAATTCAAGGATTCGTGTTTTCATCGGCTTTCTGCGAGTCCTATCGAATCACCGATTTATCGTCCGTTCTGTTTACTTTGAACTTGTTCACTGAAGTGTTTGTTAGGCTATCGACATTGAAGATACGAACAAGGAAAACGATTTCAATTCGAATTTTCTATGATCCTTAAGTCGAGAGATTTACACTTTTTATCTTTTCATAGAATTTATAGCTTTTCACAGTATTGGAAATAATTGTTTGTTTTGATTATAAGCAGATTGCGGATATTTATGCAAATTCACGATTTTAGACACTATTTTGTAAAAACGGAAATTGCATAGGGTGAACCAACCAGTTTGCACATTAATGAGTGACCACTAGACTTGTATGTAAATTATAAATTTATGAATACTTATTAAAAATATTTCAGAAGTGTAGCAGTCATTTACTAGGCTTTTACACATTTTGCATTTCATATATAATTATTTAAAAATTACGATAAGAACAAGTAATTATGTTCATAAAAATTTCAAGAAAAATAAATGTAATTGCAATTTCGACAGCTGTTTCGTTGTTATAAATAAACACATTCAAGTATTTATATATATTTAATTTAATAAATGGTAATTTAGTGCCAGCACCAGCGGTTACACCAAATTTCTAAATTAATTACTATGAATTTAATTAAGATGAATTTATTAAATTAATTATAATTGTAAATATCATTTGAAATTTTAATAACCATCATCATAATCGTGATCGTTACGCCGCATAATATATACCTAAGTAAATGTGTGAACTTTTGGTATGCATCGAGTCAACAAAATATGAATGGTTCATTTGTAAAAATCAGACATGTGAAAAATTAGTCAACTAGCCCCCGGTTTTCCCTATTAACATACTCCTAGGTCCAATCCATCTCTGTTTTATTTTTTTTTTTCCAATGTCCAGTTCCGCAGACCCGGTCAGGTCTATGGAAAAGAGTTCATAGGTGGCGTCGCGACGACCCGCATCGACTTCGTTCGACGCGTGGACGCTCCCTTGCTGTCGCGCACCGTCATTTCGTATCGGACACCACCGCGATTTGTTCATTTCACGCGTCACCGCGATGCGTTGTTCTCTTGCATACCGTTGTGCATTATGATTCCACTATGATCAGAGTACCGTGACCCGAAAATCGATCAGGTAATTACGTGTTTCGTGATTGGTTACAATGGTGAACGATCGAGGTGATAAGATCGAATCACACCACGCACATGTCTTGTTCCCCGATTTTGTTATGCACTTTTGTTTCACGAAGCACTGTTGTGATTTTCAAAACTGAACACCTATTGCATTTATTTCACACTTTTTTTTAGCGTATTTTTAGATTAACCCTTGTGTAGGCAACGGTACCCGGGTACCCGTTTTTAACATTTTTTATGTTTTTGTCTAAAACAGCACTTGGTATATTGTAGGAAGGGAAAAGTAAGATTTTCGGAAAAGTATGAAAGTAAAATTATCTATGTTTATTTAATCTCTGTCAGAATAGGGGTATTCCGATTGAGCAATAATTGTGAATATATTGATTGCCCACATAAGAGTTAAGGAGTGAAACATCAGCTGTAATGGATCTATGTAGTCTTTCTATGATACTCATTCGTTAGAATTTTAAGTTTAGAAGAAAAGTGTCAAAGGCAAAATTTGTCAATTTTTATTTTATCGCTTAAAATATCTTCCAGTACGTAGTTTCACCATCCAGAAAAATGTCACAAGTTGAACTTCAAGCGACATGGTGCCAGGATCACTTTGTTTAATATATGAAGTGCTACGTCAATGAATCAATTTTTGCTCTCCTGAAAAAATTATACATTTTCGACTTGTGATTGACCTCTTGCCTTACATCATCCAGTCAGACACGTGAAGACGATTTCAAACCGGATTTAATAAGCATTTATATTATTCGTTTTCTTTGAGTCGAAATGAAATACTTTTTTCGGTGATATTAATATTTAAAATTTAGAGTAAATGTTACAGTTGTCATAAGAATAGAATTCCTTTTGTATCTGGGAAATTATTAACAGTAAATTTGTTTAGACACACTGCAATACTTGTTTACTGTTACAAAAACACGATAAATTGAATAATAAAATACAGATGTAAAATTAATCAACTACAAAGTACTAAAAACTGATTAAATACAATACAAATTACGAAAGTGTCCTGGTTGGTCTATCAATCTTTCTAATCATGAACTTTAAACTTTGTAAAAAAATAATAACAATCAAACTTTATTTCATCCTTACTAAATGTTATGCAACAACTAATTTTATCATATTTGTACTTTTTCTTTGTCAGAAAGTATATTGTGTCAAGGATCGTATACCACTGACTGTCATACCACGAAATAGCGCTATTACTATATTATTACGTTAAACAATAACATTACTGGTGTGCATTAAGTCACTTAAAATTATCTCTATACACATTGTAGTATCCACATTTATTTCCTAATTTAATTTGTGATCAATTAATTTCTCCAACTCCGTGAAAGTATTTTTTAATCGAGATTAATACGTCCATAATTGGGACTGAATCTCATAAAATATTTAAAGATTAATTAAATATATAACTATGGAAATTAATTAAATAAATTTCGAACACATTATATATATTTCATTCTCGAAACTTCCTGAGTCGATACTCGTTGACGTTTCTGTGGAGTTATCAAGTGTGCTCGATCAAGGTGGCAACGGAAACCATAGTTTAAGTAATTTTAATAATTGTCACCTTCTTCGTAGATAATACAACAAACTGTGTTTTTCTGTCTCTACGATTATTGAACTGTTATTGTGATTGTCTACGCAAGTAAACAATATCGTACCAAAGGAATAGTTTCGAATGCTTTTCCAATATGAATTTAAATTAGATCATGGAAAAATTAACTAAATGAAATTACGAAGCCTTGGGTTAGTCACTTTTCGCGAAACCGAACATTTCCCAATTGAGAATCGGTAGTTGCATGGTCTGAAGAATTCTTATAATCTAAAAACACCAATTTTTATGAAAATAGAACATAAAATAACAATATATTAAAAGCCAATATAAATTCCACAAAAAGCGCCTTTATAATTTCAATAATTGTAAAATAAGAAATCTATAAACTATCATTTTGACGGTTCTGGTAGTTTGTGGTATTAAGGAAAAAGTTGTGTGTGCATATAGGATTCGAATCATTCACCTCGTTTCTTCATAAGAATTTCTCGACGTAAATAAACGCCGAGATTCTCCGCGATAATACGCTCATGACGTTATTTGTGTTTTATTTCGCATCACACGCGACCCACAAACCCGGGGGATTCACCGCTCGTTTTATACAACAAGAAAAATATGATACTTCCGTGAAATTGCGTCGATCCGTTACTTTGCTGAATCGCAGATATTTATTTACTTGTTTAATTTTTGTGCACTGTTTTATAAACAATTGCATTATTATTTTTTTAATTCAATTGAACCTACATTAACATCGAATTAAGGGAATATACAGTGAAGTTTGTTCACGAAAAGCTGTCAGAATGCCAATTTTTATTTCTGAATTAAGAAAAATTGATTATACAAAGATAATAAAGGTTATGATAAGGGGAATAGAAAAGTAGAAATTCCATAAAAAGTTTTGATACATAATTGTTATTTCACAAGTTTGTGAATAAATGTATGAGTCACTGTATTTGCCTATCTAGCTAGATTCTAGTGTTATATGCATTTAAAAATTTCTATAATTAAAAATATAATTAAGAATTAAATATGGCCTTTGGGTTAGATTGATACTACTTAGATTGATAATGTGATCACTACTCAACATTTTTTTATACATAACGAACAATTATAAAATATTATAGCTTACTATTGTCCCTTCTTTTGTGTTACTTTCTCTCGTAGCAGTTAATTGTAGTCTATTCTTCATAATTTTAAAGTGAGATTCGAAATTGCAAAGCAGAAAGATTGATAAATGAAGGGACAAGATTAGTGTCAGGTAGAATTCTATTTTTTCTGTGTTACTGTTGTTATGAGTAGGTATTATTATCAGGTGTTTTAGTTGATTTAATAAATCAATGTTTACAAATGTTATCGATGTGTCTCGCTGATGTGCTGTCAGTGTATTATTGATCAATGCAGGTATTACTGTATGTCAAAGACTAAAGAATTTATCTGAATGTCAATTTATGTATGGACATTATGAATCAGTTTTAGCTTTAGTTACTTTCCGATACAAATGATAAATTGATGTCTAAATTTGTTGTGTTTGGCGTAAACAAAGATAGTTTAATTTAGTGACATTTAGTATGACATTTTCCAGACCAATTGTGTAATATCTATTTATATTTGAATTTGAAATAAATATCGTAATTTAATTACAATTACTAGTAACACTCAAAATACGTATGTTATTGTCCAAAAGTATGTGTTTTTCCTAACTTTATATACAAACTACAAAGTGCAACAGATTTCCCAAAAAAATCGTCCCTTAATACAAACTATTTCGATATATTTTTCATGTTTGCATAAATCACGAAAATTAGAGCACTACTATTAGAACGAAAATACAAATTTTGCGAGCACCACTCTCACCAAGTGTATTCCAAGTGTTGTGTAGCAGACTATAATGAGTAGACTGATTTCATGCATTTATGAAATACCCAATCGTCTAAAATTCAGCACACTAAAAAATTACAGAAAGTTAATTCAGGTTTTCGTTTTATTTTACACCCAAATCCAACCCTTAATAGGATAAATAAGTCTTTCGTTACGTTCAGTTTCGCGAAATTAATCCATAAAATTCTGTATTTCCGTAAAAATCTACAGTTTAATAAAAAGTATTGTCGATTGTGTTTTTGATCACCAGGTTGCAAATGGTTGCTCAAATTTACTTTCCATAAAATCATTAAAAGATAGCAATAGCTAAAACAAAGTGAATCATTTCGATGTATCCGTTATTTAAAACAATTCTTTACCGTTTAACAGTTGCAGATGAATCCTACAACTCTAAAATCTTGGCTGCAGCGCGGTGAATTCGAAAAACTCGAGCATGTCGTGCTGGAAGGACGCGGGGCTCGTCTGTTAGGCGAACAATCACCTGATGTCAGAACTCGAGTCTTCCTGAAAGGACTCCCAAATTATTTGGTTGGTGGATCATCGATAATTTATTGATAATGGACAATAATTTAGTATTTTAAACATTTGCAAAACGAAAGTGGTATTTTTTCTCAGACGAAAATTTCTCAAGTGCACCACGCAGTCACCCGTGGTTCTTTAGCAGAGGTGCAGAGAATCATCTCAGAGGAGCCTAAAAAGAAGTTGGCTATCGCGAAGGATCCGTCTGGGACGCCATTGCTTCATAAAGCGGTCTACTACGATCAACAGGACATCGTCGAGTGGTTAGTCCAGAATTATCCCAACACTGTGCATCAAAGGGACAGGGTAAGTTCAAAGTATTCACTATATGAGGGCAATATGGGCGCTGTATTATGGGCCAATTAATGACCGAAATATTAAGGGCCTACATGTGTTATAGTTAGATGATGATTTAATGCATGAATACTTTAAATTGAAATAGAGGTAGCTTAAAATTTATGTATGTCTGAGATTCACGTATACAACATACGGACAATTTAAAATTTATTAACCCTTAACTGGTCAGTTGGGTTCTGATGAACCCCATGAATATTTTTAGAATATTTTATATTTATTCAATGGTTATTTGAAGAGATGCTTGTGTATTTCGATGTTCTCTTACGTGAGAATGCAAATAACTGCGTGTAATAAGTAATAAGATTTCTACTTGACCAGATAAGGATTAACTAAATTTATAATTATTCAAATAAAATTCATTGGTAATCGTTTAGTAACCATTTAGTAATTAGAAATTTACTAAATTCAACATCTCTCAAATATTATAACCTTATTACACATATTTACAAAAACATAAGTACAAAATAAAAGGGGAATATAACAATATTTGTAAGGTGTACCTAAGGGGTGGAATTAATAGATCATTTAACGCGATTATCGGATTTTCAAATCCTTATTTTTGAATAAAATACTTTGCTTTACACGTTCCGCGATAAACAGATAAAATTTAATAGGCCAGAAAAAATATAATCGTTTTCGGGTCAGACAGATCCAATCAAAGTGCCAGAGTTAAACGAACCACGTTCCCATTTAACTTCACGCGAAGAACTACCCCGTAACACGTGACACAATTAACCTAAAAAAATTCTTACAACAAATCAGTTCCTCCTACAATATTTATGACCTCGATATCGTCACTGTTAATCCATTCGGGGAATATTTATTTGAGAAATAAAGCACAAATGCCTTTGTCTTTCTCGACAATTCTTCCTCAAATTCTGTTTCAAATTGAGTAAAAGATTCGTTATAGAATTAATTTTTACATAAATAAATTCAGCGTAAAAATCACATAGAGAACGCATAGATAACTAGATTGCGAATGTTTATGCAAACATAGATTTGTACAAGTTAATTTACAGGTTCGAGATTCAAACAGAATTTTGTTTGCTTGACTTATTGTTCAATAAAGTTCCATATAGAAGGAAAATCTTTTTAATACTTTGACTGCCGCAGTGAAGAAGGTCGTACGTAGCCAGACAAACAAAAAAATGTCGTTTTTTAAATTATACTACGATATTAATGTTACGTAAAAATTTTTGTAACAATATTTAAATAATCCCGCCACTTTTCAATCTTTCAAGTTTTCAAGTACGAGTTTTCTCGTAGTTGGCAGTCAACGTATTAAACTCTACCAACCCCTTAACTATCCTGATTTCTAGACAATCCTGTTTGCCATAAATGAATTAAAATCCGCATTCTCTTGATAAAAACATTATCTAGAAAGTAACCTGATATCTAACTTTTAGGTTAACCGTTCTTCTTTTACATGATCTACAGTAAATCCTCGATGAGTGTTCGAAGGCTCCTCGGCAGTAAACATTAAATATTTCATAAACTCATTCCAAGCTCTATCACTGTGCTAAATCTCATTAAAATGTCAAAAACTCATCGAGGATGTACTGTAATCATTTAAATTCCGACGATTTTCATCCGATAGATCGCTTGAACGTCACGTAGGATATCGTGACGGGGGCGTTTGCGCTTCTCCCGAGATACCCGGCCGCCTGAATAATCGAAAAGCCATTTTTCCTAACGACGGTCGCCTCTCCCGCATCGCGTGACGCGGCTAATAACAAAGTGTAAACCACCTGTTCTTCCCTGCAGTCGTCCGAGTTCGTGTCCGGGCGCACGCAGCGCCTCGGATACGCTAAAAGGTGCCTCTACCACCCCTTTACCACCCCCCTCGATCCCATTCGCTGCCAATACATTCGCCATTCCACTGTCGTCGATATCGTTCACACCGTTGCTCCAACGAAATATTCGCCCTTCGACCGACACCATTTCTTCGACCTCTGTGAACCACGTGGTGACGTTTTAAGGAGAACGAATCGATCAGTCTTTTGTCGCGGCACGTGTTGTGGCATAATTTTCAAATATTTCGATTGGAACTGTTACGTTTACCTTTTAAGGTAATTGTAGGGGGGAGTGAATTGTGAGTTGTTTAACAGGTTCGCTACTATCATATGGTTAACTCGAATGTCCCTACTATTCTCTTCAGTGGAATGTATTTACTTTCTTGATTGGATATTGGAAGTATATATGAATATGGAATGTATAGGTGAATATTGAAAAATAGATTCTGCATTTATTGGATAAGGTATGCTGATTTGGAAATTGGAGTGTCAGGTATATTTAACGACTAGTAGCGAATGTGTTAATAGATAAAGTGAAGTCGCTTTGCTAAATTGCAGATATTCAGTATTTACTTACTGAATATGTTCACAATCCTTTTCTGGAAAAAGTATAATTATACGAATTTTTTGTGTTACCCTGAAATATTCATCCTCTGACCGACAGAATTTCTTCGACCTCTGTGAACCACGTGGTGACGTTTTAAGGAGAACGAATCGATCAGTCTTTTGTCGCGGCACGTGTTGTGGCATAATTTTCAAATATTTCGATTGGAACTGTTTCGTTTACCTTTTAAGGTAATTGTAGGGGGGTGAATTGTGAGTTGTTTGATATAAAAAGTGAAATTCCCGCGAAATTTCGCTGGTCACTTATTGACTTACTTAATTCGATCACACAGTTATTTGAGAATTGTTTATATAAAATTGACAATTAATAAGAAATTCGTATGTTAGCTCGAAATATTCACCCTCTGATCGACACAGTTTCTTCAACCTTTGTGAACCACGTGGTGACGTTTTAAGGAGAAAAAATCGATTAGTTTTTATTGTGGCAAGTGTTGTGGGATATTTTATTAAACATTTTGATTGGGACTGTTTCATTTACTTTTTAATATGATTGATATGACTTGTTGTTTGGAGTTTGAGGATCACGCCCTGATTTCTTAAAATCGATATATTATCACTGAAGTCTATTGTCATTGTGATATACAGAGTGTTCCATTTAATTTGATCACATACAAAGTGTTTATGGAAGTAGGTCTTCCTATTTATGCACAGTATGTTTGATTTTTCTTAGTTAACAGGAAACTATATGGAGTTAGTAGTGTTGATATATAAGTTCTTTCATCCTCTGCTCAATAACAATGTATTTTAAGTATTAGTATAATTATCTTTTCATATGATTTTTGGAGCAATTAAGATAAATGATTTATTAACATATAGATTATATGTATGTATTTGTGGTACACACTACTGTCATGAACTTAGAATAGCAAAAAGCTTAGAAAAATTTAATATGATTGTTACTTCATTTGTAACAGGATCAAAAATTATCAATTGTGTGAACAAATTTCTATTTGCTCTCAGTTTAAATAGATCACTCGCTGAATCTAGTAACATAATACTTTTTCAGTTAAAATATTGTGCATGAATTATCACTTAAAAAAATTATGCCAACTAAAAAATTTGTAACAATTTTATTTAGGAACCATAAATTCCACTTTACGTAAAATTTATCCTTCGTATTTTAAAGTTCAACTTTATTTTTCGAAGAAAAATGTAAAAAAGTTTGCTAGTTGAACATTCTTTGACTTCTGTAGAAATATAGTAAAAAATTCTTCACCGAACATAAGATTTTAAACAACGCTTTATGCATAATAACATAAATTCAATATGAACCAAAGTATTAATAATACGAATAAAAATGTTGTAATCTGCTTAAATAAATGTTTAATTGGTACACATTTGATTTTCAGGAAGGAAGAACAGCGTTGCATTATTGTACAGCTTGTAAGGATCGCGATACAATTTGGGATGTCCTCGTAGAAGGTGACTGTGACGCAAGTATCTGCGACAAAAAGGGCAATCCGGCCGCTTATTATCTGGAACACAGCTCGGAGATTGAATTACCGGAAGCGGAAAACATGTCCCGCCGAAAAGTCAGCGGCGTGAAGGAAAGTGAGTAATTCCTATTAGATAACAATGCTATATCGTCCCACATGAACTAGTTAGATTTCACAGATTGATATATTTTATTATGAATTCATACAATTCTTGGCAAAGGTCATACTACATTAGTTGCATACTAGAGATCCCAGTCTGCAAACTAACTTCTTTATTATCTACTTGATCATCTATTTGAGTCATCTTTGTAGCACCAAATGCGCTTTTCATTGAACTATTTATATTTATGTAACGTGTAAGTTACAGTGTGTAATCCATTGATCATAAGACACTGTGGTGATATTGATCCAAGGCTATTTAACATAAATTCAAAAAAACAGTCGAAATACAATTAAATTGAAAATTAGTTTTATTAATTTTGATCTAGGTTTTCGTAGAGATGATATTTTACAAAAATGAAATTTTCTAATCTTTATGTGGGAGGCACAAAATTAAAAATATAATATAAAATCTAATATAAAAAAATCCATGATTGGCTTGAGAATCATGTTTCGTGATGTACACAGGTAAATCCCTTCTAGGAGATAAAGATCGTACTTGATCAGACACATAAAATACGACAACTTCCCAAGGAGAAGAAGATAACGACATAGAACAAGTTAAACGTTTAATAAAGTAGTAAATTATAGTTAAAAGTGTAGACTAAAATCTCAACCTTTCCTGAAAAACTTTGCCATTATGCCACCAGCGGACAGGTGTTCCAAGTAAAAACATTCCAAGGTTCATAAATTATGCTGAATGTACCCGACACTGTCAGGACTAAATGTATTTAAGGATGATCTACGATTTAGTTTTGCCTCGCCTAGAAGTGATTAATTGACCATGATTTCATCGAGCTTGACCATCCACGGCAATCAGCCGGATAGGATGGATCGATTAAAAGCAACTCGATAAATGGATTCCCGGCAACCTTGCAGAAAGCTGCGTTTCGTTCATTCCCCGCCTTCGACGGATATAGATTCCTTGACTTATACCCTACGGAATCCACTAGTAATAACCGGTCAGAATCGATAAAACGTAAATTTGTAAGGCAAGGAATACCGCCGCGATCGATAGGATGCCATACAGCCGATCGAGAAGCCGCGTATTAAAGAACGCTTGGATACTACGATTCTGGAAAGTTACATCGACGTTATAGCGATGTAAAAACAGTTTCTACTACTTTACTAATTGGGACAATCTTGGTAATTCTTCAAATATTGACAAGATTGATTTCTACTTAACTCTTTCGACCTTATGATTCGTGACTAAAAGTGCAGTCCATAGTGGTTCGAATTTTAATAATTTGGCATATTACGAGAAGTACAGGTAAAATGATATATTTTAAACATTGTTATTTCGAGAGAATTAAAAGAATTCTAAAAATCATTATTTTTAAAACATTTTCGTAGTTCGAATGGGTCCGTTATTCTTGCTGTGTATTGATTTTGGTTGTGACGTAAACATATAATTTTAATAGTATAATTTAAAAATATAATTTTTAATACCGAATTCGGAGTACTGAAACGAAAATATTAAAATTGGTCTATAATGACAAGCATAAACTTAAATATGAAATGCTTACTCTTTTTCCAGAAATTCAAGATATAAACAACTTTGTTTAAAATAAAAATCTATATACAAACAAGAAAGATTTTCCACCAATTTGCTACAAATGTTGACGGAACTCTTTTTATTTCTAACTTTCTGTTTCGTGCAAGAAAATTGAGAATAATAATTGGAAATGATAGTTTAACAAATTATTATCATTGCTCAAAATGACACGACCTAAATGCTTAAGTCATAATGACTTTCAATTTTCATGAGAAAATTGGAAATTTCTGTTCGCCGTGAGCCATTGTGTTTCCTTCGATGATGGACTGCCCATTTCTTGACAACAGCTATCTTCTTACAGCGTTTCTCTCTTTGTTATTTAAAATTGAATACTAAGCTGTTCGAAGAAAACTGTAAGTACTAGTTCTACAAACTTGAAGGCAAATTTCCGCAGTAAATCAATGACTAATCTAACGTCCAAGGAAGTAACAGCGATTAGTTTAATGGTAAAAGAAATTACATAAAACTTTGCACAAGCGTAACGAGCAATTGTTATCTACTTACATAACATTTGAGTTAGCATATTGTTTCTACAAAAGAGGAAACTTAATCCTTCCAGAATTATCAAGGAATACATTGTACGTTATATCTTGCTGTAATTTATTGCAGGTTTAATTTTTTATACAATTATGTCTATTCTTGAGTCGTTAAATTAAATAATAATTTTTTCTTAGCTCTGAGAGGATTGATTTAAAACAATTGAATTATTAAAATAGATTAACGAATTAAAGATTTTGATATTGTTATTGGAATTGTAATGCTTTTAATTTCATTTCGTGTAGTTTTCGAGACCAGTTCGAAATCAAGACAGAATTTGTTGTTTATAACAAAGTATTATTTTTGGAACCGTTTTTCTTATTTCAGATTTCCCTAGTAGTTAAGAAATTAAAATAGAATTTTTGTTCTTTCTTATTCAGATTTTATAATCATATTTTACAGAAGTTTTCTAGTATTTCCTTTAAATAAAAGAAATTACATACGGACGTTAATTGATTACGAAAATAGTGTAAAATTCATACAAATTTCTTACAAATCTTTACTATTAATCTGATCTTCGTTACTACCTATAAAAATATATCGTTTTACAGTAAGTTTTGAACACTATAGCAGTACAATTACTGTAACGCCGAAAATATGGATGTTTACGCAAATATAAGTTTTTATGAATTAGTTAACAAACACTATAATAAATACAAATCTCTTTACTCCACTATGAATTCCATAAAGCTCCAAATTAAAGAAGAACCACTGTACATTTCACTAACCATTTTTCATTGTACTAAATTCGAAACAATCGAGTATGCCATAGATGCATAAAATCAGCAGTCTGATAATGTCAACGAAAAAAAAAAAAATGATGATTCAATCTAGTATTTCTGTACAACATGTTCGAGTTAAACTAGTTGTCAGTTCAACGAAAAGAGCACCGGTTCTCGAAGCACAAGGCGACCATCGAATTATTGAAACCGGGAAACTTTCGTCGTATTGACAGACCTCGAACTGTCATTAAATTGTCATAAACAGCCGGCATTTTACGTGGCGCGGAAAGTTGGTGTGCGCCGCCTACAACGTGCATACATAGACCGGCATTTCCGCTTACATTGATTGATCTATTTACCAAGGAAGCATGTCGTAACGTATAGTACACGGTGTAAACGTCACCGGCTCGAAACGTGTCAGTGATGTGACGGGGTCCGTGCACCCGGCCGGCTTTTCAAAAATTTATTAATCCACCCTCGAACACGCAATCCGCGGCGAAACAAAGGTATTATGCGCTTCGACTCCGCACGGTTGTTGGCATTTTAATCCAATCTTCGTCAAGGATCTGTCCTCTTTTTGACACATAATTTGTGAGGTGGGATTTGTGAAACCACGTGAATAATTTTGGAATATTTTATTTTTATTGAATAGGTACTTAACCTTCATTAGGATAGAATGGAGAACAGTCTCGGAGATTCTGAGTACAGAATAGCTGAAATTAATAGTTCTGAAATATTTTACTTCTTTTAATTTGATTATTTATTTAGTAAAATAGTAATATTGATTTTTTAATTGTTTTTTATTATATATGTTATTGTATTGTTTGTCATGAAATATTAAATGAGTCTCAGAGGCTCTTATATCCGGATAATGGTTAAAGATGTCTTTTTATATGGAAATCCAAAGAAGTAATTGTGTTATTTTATCGATAATTCACGAAACTGAACACAAAGAAAAATTTATTTATCCTGTTAAGGGTGCTGGGAGATTCGAAGTACAAAGAAAACGTGAATAAACTTATTGAAACTTTGTAGTATACTGAATGTTAGAAGATCGAATATTCTATAAATGCATAAAATCCACAGTCTAATAATAAGTAATATGATTTGTAACTCACCATTTCTTAGAAAATGTTATCAAAAATAGAAACAATACGTTATTTATTGTTTGTTAATTGTTGTTCAACTAAAGATGAGCGAAAACTAATGTGTTTTTATCCAAAGCTCTGTTTGGCTAAATTTAGTTAATGGTTTTATAAATATTTTTAACGTCCTTATTTTATTCACTTTTGAATGAATACACTTTTGTTTCATTATTTGTTATTGTAATTGAAAATGGATGAAAGCTATGTTTATTATTTGAAGATTTTTATCGACATGTATATCTACTTTTTGTCGAAGTGTACTTATCCATATGTATTTATAGATGTTTGACTATATTTTTTTTTAAAGAAAAAGTGGATATATTGTAATATATATCTGTTTTAGTGTCTCAACATATAAAATATGTACAAAATATAAATAATAGTTCACAATATAACGGGTTGAAAAATACTAATAAAGTTACGGCAAAAAATTTTACTCACAAGGAAGTAGGCTAAAGGATTAATCTCGATAGTGTTCGATGCCATTTTCCGTCCAGGTTAACACTTACAAGTTTCTTCAAAAGTCTGATAATTACTAATTATTACTTTTTGTAAAATCTTCGATCTGTAAGTCTGATATAATAACGATAATAAAAAATAAGAAACTGAGGGGAATAGAAAAAGGAATAAATGATATAAGAATAATGCATAGAAAAATATAAGTAGGCAAGCATTCAAATGTCACCTTGTGACGTATTTTTATGTAATTCCTACTTTATTTGCGTATAATTATTCAATATTATCAAGGGAATTGTTTGCCACTACGTTTATATAATTTATCTCGATTAATTTCCTCGCCGATGTCGCGTTTGAGTTATATAAAAATTGATGAATCATGGATAATCGTAGGTACTTATGGTGAAACAATGAACGTTGGTGTTTTATTTAAGTAATTCCGTTGCACTCTTCGATGTTACACTAGTATTTCAACTCTTAGGATGTTAAGTTCCTTTTTTCACTTGAACGTTCTGAGGAAAACTCGAATTCTCAACCGGGATCAATATGTTTTCATTCCGTCAGCCCCAGATCAGCAACAGCGTTCAACAGAAAGTCGATATTTGCTGGTAAGAGGATTCCCCCGAGTGTCTAAAATATTTATTACATTGCTCTAACACGCGATGCACGGTTACAAATCTTGTCGTTGGTAAATTCTTAACGAAATCAATCATAACCTCGTTGAAAGTAGGCCATATAACTATACTTAATTTATGAATACAATTACAGAAGCTTCTACTTCAGTTAAACCATAATACATTGAAAAATATTTAGGCCTATTTTTTATCCTATCACACATTATAAATTCTATTAAACTATGGGAAATCGAAATGAGAAAAAAAAGAAGATAAATTAATATACCTTACGTACATATTATTATTATTAAAACCCAGCATAACAATTTAGAAAGAAAGTGAGATTAAAATTTTGAGTAATATCTGTGTGTTAATTAAAAATAATGAACCAAAACTTTGAAAATTGTGTTATATTTTTTTAAATTGTTATTACTTATAATTCAACTTAATCATGTATAAAGAAATTCTAGGCCATACTCAATTAATAAATTTTTCAAAGATAAAGAAAGTTAAAATAGTTTGTTTTATAATTGTATTGTAGATAGATGTATAAAGCCTTCATAAGTCTATCCAGACGTTGCACGTCTTGCAGTAATCGCACTCTTCATCTACGAAGTAGATATCTCTAATAAATTACATTCATGTACTTTCCTTAATGAAATCTTCGAAAGTCACTTTGCACGTTTATCGATCAAAAGTTACCTCCACGAGAAAGGTGAACAATAAGAATTGTTGTCACCCAGAAGTATCGCTCGAAATTAAATACTATAATAATTATTAATAACGAGACGAAAATGTTTTCTTCCCAGGCCTGGATTTCAAGCCTTCTAACATCAGAATATGGATCCATAATCGAGACATCGGGAAATTGCAACAGGTATTATGGGACGGACATGGAACCAAGTTGCGCAGAGAAACCAGCAACAATCCACGCGTGAAAAAATTTTTGGAAGCTGTCCCCTTTATAATGGTCGGTATATTGATCAAGATCTTAAATTATTAATTTCGAAGTATATCTAGATTCATTATTAGGCGCACTAATAACTAATTCATCATTTTCTTAATGAAATTGTCCTCTTGCTCGCTAAAAATAGTGTAGGATGCCAGAGAACTATTATTACTGAGGGCATATGTTTTTATTTTCTTGTAAACACATATTGGTAAAAAATAGTGGACTATTTATTGGTACACATAATATTATTAACCGGAAATATGAAGAATAATTTTCATGTACATTCAGAATCTAGAGCAAGTAATGAAAATCAAAAATTTATTTAACATTTTTAATCTGTGTTTTAAGGAAATACGTAGTAACGACATAAATTGTGGTGTTTCATATTACAAAACGCTATCCTGTTAATAAACATAAATAAAAACTATTTATGTTGAGTTAGTTTAAATTATAAATAGAGATAAGCTAATAACATCGAAAATTAAAAAAGAATTCTTTTACCAAAGTTCACTATTTGATAGTTGAATACTTTGAAAGCTTAATAATGTTTTAAACAAACATTGACATACCAATGTAATATACATTCACCACAATTTTCTTTACTGGTTATGTATTTATTTAAAATACAGGGTGAAAGAATGAAATAAAAATTACTGACTGTATATTTTCATCGCTCATCTATTGTCAATGCATTTTTTACCGAAAGAAATAATTTCCACATTTGTTTCACAGGGTACTGTGAAAGATGTTCACGCAGCTACGGTCCAAAACGACTTGAATGAACTTAGAAAGAAAATAGACTTGACGTCACCCATTGTTCTTTGCAGTAAGGACAGCAATGGTTTGAATGTCCTACATAAGGTTCGAATTGTAACTTTGAAAATAATATAATCTTGAATAGTGTATAATAATCATATATCAATAACACTATTTGATAATCGATAGGCTGCTGGATTGGGATTCACAGAAATCGCGCGAGAAATCCTTTCAAGCTATCCTTCGGTCGTGGAAGCGCAGGACAATGACGGAAAGACGCCATTGCACTATGCAGCTGCGGTTAAAGACGACGGAGAGTTGTATAATTTGTTAACTGAGTATGGGGCTGATGAAAGCAAATTGGATAATGTGAGTGTTCAGTGTATTGTTAATTATATAATTTGGAATTATTTCCCAGTGAATCTACTTTAAAAAGAAAATTTATTGGAAAGTATAGTTGAACTAAAAATCAAGAAACTGTGAGAATTGGATCAATTGAAACAAATTAGAACTAATTATTAATTATTATGTATAATAAAAGGACAAAAAATTCCGATTCTACAACGCAAAGATAGGGTTAATTTTTTTATGCTAATACGTATTTAAAAGTATTTTAATTACAGATAGATTCAAAATATTCTGTATCTTAGATTAAATATTTAAAGTTAAATATGTGTATACCAGTACCATAGTAAAAAATCTATTAACATCATGAAGTATTATTTGACGTTAGAATACAAATATTATCGAATATGTAATATGAGTAATCTCAAAAGCTTCCTTAGTACTCTTTTATTTATGCAAATTATTTTCATAGTAATATATAAAGTTTAATTGTTCTACATAAGGGTAACTGTATTATATTTATCAGCAATACGTAATACTAATATTTTGATGCATAATACTTTGTGCATTCCATCAATCAAAATTCATTTGTTAATTTACGTTCATTTTTTAATCAGAGACAAAAGGCTGCAGCTTTCTATAAGAACCGACCGTCAGATATAGATCAGACGCTTTTAACGGTGATACCGGAAGCGCCTCGAGTTTCCGGGACCTCGTACCCCAAACACTGGGATTGGAGGATCTTAGAATCTGAGGTTTCAAGGTACATGAAGAAAGTGAACAGCGCGGATATTGACAGTGCATTTGGCAGTGCTGAGTCTGCGTCGAAAAATCACAGCAGATCTATGGAACAGGTAATTGACTGTCAATTAAAATTAATGACAGATAATTGAGTGTATAGAATATTTAATCTTTTTTAATTTACCAACTTGGCAAATTGCAAAGCTTACATTAAAAATAGCCCTGTAAAAATTAATTCCAATCTATGAACATATGTCTCTGTTTCCTCAAGACTTTGTAACTTTATTTTAATCATCAGAATTCAATTTTCTCCAGTGTTACCAATTTTGTATTACTTTCATAAAAAATCATAGCCTTTTAGAATCTTACGCTACAAAATAGACATAATTTTCTTCACTGATAAATAACGAATAGAAACGATACATAAGAACAGAAACTTAAACAAATTTTTCTTCTACAGAAATAAGATATTTACCACTTTGTACATGAAACTTTCTATTAAGAGAAGAATTAGTATTTTAATAAAACAATATACAAAATTTTGTTTGACCATCTCCAAGATATATGTACAAACCAGAACAAAAGTGTCCAAATATGGAATACAAAACTGACAAGTAATTTAACGGCATAGATAAAATCAGCTATACTGGACCAGCCCAAAGATCAAGAAGATTCAGGAAATCCGGAGGAGGCGGAGGATGAAGAGAATCCAGTGAAGACAGAGGAAGCAACCGAAAATCAAGAGGCAACAGAGAATCCGGAGGCAATAGAGAAACCAGTGGAAACAGAGAATCCAGTGGAAACAGACATTCCAGTGGAAACAGAGAATCCAGAGGATACTGAAGAAACGAAGGAGCCTGAAAATGAAGAGAACAGGGAAGAAGAAACAGCTCAAGAAAATGCGAATCCTGAGGATTCGGAGGAGAGATCTTCGGACGACGATGTGGTAACAGGTGGTCCAACACAAGAGGTAGAGGAGACTCAAGATCCTGAACCGGAAGAACCTAACGAAGAAGGTGAACCAGAGAGCGCAGAGGTTGAGACGAAAAACGAAACCGAAGAAGAAACGAAAGAAGAATCAATGGACGATACGGATGCAGCGAAAACTGAGGATGTCGAACAGGAGGACGAGCACAAGGAGCAGGAAGAAAGAAACGAGCCGAGCACCGGTGATTCCGGTGTCGATGATCCAGGAAACGACGAAGACCAGGTACAGTCGTCATAACACTTAAACGAATCCTGTTTCAGGAACTTAATCGGCCCGTCACGCACATAAATTCACAGGGAAACGTAAGATGCGAAATGAGATGGTACTTTGTGATGTCGATGTAAGTTGAAGGGGAACACACATTATTACGACGATGATGATCTACAAAAACGTTGTCTCTTAAGACCTTTTTTTTTATTGGACATGTCTTAATGATACATGAAAATTACATGCTTTGAAGAACTTTTTCGTTAAGGAAAATTCTTTATAGTGGCACTGTTATGATACTTTTTATAACAATATATTTATTAACAGATGAATACGTGACTAATTCACGAAAATGTATAAAATCAGAATTTTTTTTAAGTTTTAGATTGATGCAAAGGATTTATCCTTTCTTTTGTAAGGAGTTTTATATGAAATGAGGTGACATATGTAGATTGATGAAAGGGAGCGTCATTTTGTTTCTGTATGAAACATTCATCAGGTATGATGTATTCGTTCTGCAGTATTGAAGTTTCATCTTAAATATTCTGAAAATTTTCAATTTTCAATGAACAAATATTCTTGGATATAAAAATTGTGAGTAGTCTTAACGATTAAATTAGAAAACCAAATTCTAAAAGAATACATTCACATTTAGTTATTCATCAAGTTACAAAAGTGAAGATAATAGATTTTTTAAAATGCCAAAATATTAAATTTCTGAAGTTCTCATAATGGTGTTCCCCCTTAACGAGAGAAATTAAAGGAATCGGAAGCTGATTCTAGGCATCGATGAGCATTTGGTGAGTGATCGACAGTGGTTACAAGTGTTAGGATGACTGTCATTGTGTCTGGAGATTAAGGAACAATTGATATCAAAATATTATGCAGTATGTTCTTTGTGACGCACAAATATATTAATAAATAAATGACTGAACAAAAGACCTCTGTTATGTGACTTTTGAACAGTTCCATGAGTATTCATAAAAGGATTTTTCGAAAAAATTACAATTATTTTTTTCATTTTATATTTTTTTGTGTTATAATTTACTAGTTAGTTTTTCTGTTAATTACTTCAGAATCTATATCCAGTTTTGAATTACCGAGGATCAATCAAAATATACGGTAGTAATCATAACTGAAAACGAGAGTCTTAAATAACTTTCAACATTCTCGTTATTACAAATATCAAAGAAAAAAATATAATTTCGTTCAATGAGCAGTATACCTATACCGTATATTAAATAACCAAAATCTAAACAGTCCATAGGTACACGAGATAAATAATTTTTAAAACAGCTATTAGAATCAATTAAAGTTCTAACTCACATTTTATTTACAATCTCTTCTCAAATTTTCCTGAGAACTGTGGTATCGTCTTTTTTTAACTAAACATTTCAATGTACAGTAGACCCCCCTATTGCATAGAGGATACGTTCTGTGTTATATGAGTCCGTGTTATACAAATCACGTAGATTATATATGTATACATACATGGATTATGTATGGAAATACATATTCATAAATAATGAATAGATATCATTTATTATAAAAAATTATAAATAAATAGTAATGATATTTCATGCGATGGTTTCAATTAGAATGTAAAAATTTAAACTTATATATCGTGTTATACGACTCTGTTTTACCGTGTTATATGAGGATCTACTGTACTTCATCACTGAATCCATTAAAAAGAATATGTCTCTCCCTCGAACCACTAACACAACCCCAATCTCGTAAGCAAAAGACAATTCAGCTGCTCAACGCCACCATTAACGAAAAAGTATCCTAAATTACGTTAAATACATAAATTATCCACCCCATAGACCTTCTAGAACTCTCAAAGACACCGTAACCACTAAAACTACCGAACCCGACAAAAAAACGAATTTCAGATGTTTTATTTTACAATTACTAAAATCCTACAGATACTTTCATCGGAATTCATGTTAACCTCTAATATCTTCTACACTTTACTAAGTTATATTACATTATACAATTTAAAATAACATTCATTAAATGCTGGTAGTTTTAATGTTAAAACCGATCGATATTACAATAATATTCGATTCTACCAAAGTGTCTATTTAATTTCCACTAAACGAACCCGTCACGTAACTCGATCGATCGGCAAAAAAAAAAGGAGAACAGAGGTACAAAGGTGTACACACGCGTCCGGGCACGCAATGTGGACACACAGTGGCGAGAGGATACGCCAAACACGATCGATTTATGTTTAGATTCCCGCGTATGATTAATATTCCCTCTATCGATCCTCACGTGCCCGTTCTGTGCGCATGGTTTTGCACCTGGACATGATCGGCAGGTGATCGTCGTCGAGCACGAGGAGCTACCGGAGGCAGAGCTGAACGACAGCAGCATGTCGGCGGACCCGGAGATCGAGAAGCTGCTTGAGAACGGAAACATGGAGCAGCTGGCCACGTTGGTGCTGAACGGGGACGGAAGAAGATTGGTCGGAAGACACTCGGGGAATCCTGAACTTCAGGCTTTCATCGATCGTGTCCCGTCATACATGGTATTACGCAGCATTCGCAGTCAAAGGAAATCGCTCTTTTTTTTTTTTTTTTTGCTCGTTCACCATCGACGAAGCATCTGTCAGCGTGCTCGCGTAAATTATAGTAAATTGCGGTTTTTATTCACTACACAGATTGACGGGTGTTCTACATATTTATGATGTGTTGCTGTTGCTTTTTTGTTAGCAGTATGACGAATAAATCGTTGAGCCGATTTACTGGTTTGTTTTGGGAGACCTGGTAATATGTGAACCGTTCATTTGTCAAAGTGATTCACTGCAGGAAAATTATCAAGGAAATTTATTTGAAATACAAAAGATATTTTTATAAACGTACCAATTAATTTGGAATAGTACTATAAATTTTAATAAAAGCACCGATTGAGCACCAATCATAACTTTGCTACCAGCTGCTGCATTTGCAACCAACCAACATGCTTTGACTTAAACATTTGACAAAATTCAAAATAGAGTTAGTCAATTCGGCGTGTGAACGGCATATATGTATACAGGGTGTCTCAAGTCGAGTAGTACAACCGTGCGGGAGGTGAGTCTATAAGAAAAATAAATTGAAAAAGACGAACAAATTCTTTTTGTGTGGGGTTTTATGTTTCGGAAAATTAGTAGAAATGGCCCGTAATGAATAGAAACGTTAGCCAAGTCGTACTCTACTGTCTGTGTATCCATCAAATTTTTAAGTTCGATTATCTCGAAAATGAAGCATCAACCGAAGAAATTTTTCTTTTAGACTTATTTTTTCTTATAGAATCACCTTCTGCATGGTTTTACTGCCCTGTATGGTTGTATTGGGACACCTCATATAGATGGGATTATGCGTATGATGAATTTGTACGTGATGATTTGAAAAAGTGTTGAACAATTTTGGAACATATGGTAATTTTGAATGTACAACAGATCACAAGTTTCTGCACATTAGTTTCTTACGTTTGCTTGATCATTTTACGAGTCTCAGTTTGGTTTTTATATTAGAATTGGATAAAATAGACGTCAGGACACTATTATTATTGAGCATATATGCAAACATATCGCTGACATACTTTCGATATTTCAAGGTTAATTTTAATTTCTGTTTCTTGTGACAAATATTCTAAGTTTTTATTTTAGTAGACATTTGTGGTCTATGTAATGGAACCAGGAAGAATATTGGCTAAATAACTGAATAGTACGCAGCAGCCAGGATGTCATGATATCTAATAGTTGACACATAAACAATTAATAGTGACAAATAAAATAAATCGTATGTAAATGTTCCAAATTTTGTCCAAGGATCGTTGTGAACTTAATTTTAAAGAAAAGTTTATGCTTTCAAATCGTTCTATCCTTCTTCAAAATCACCTGGTACATGTTTTCCGTTTATTATAAGCTTTCTTTTTAAAAAAAACTTTAAAGGGATTAAGCTCGAATCACGATCGATGCAATTTAAAATTGTACACGCGATGGCTTCAATACATCGAATAAATTAAAATACTTATTGTTCCAGGGAAAGATCCACGCTGTACACATGGCAGCAAGAGAAGGAAACCTGAGGGATCTACAAAGTGCACTAGATCGTCGTAAATTTGCAGTTGCAAAGGATGGCTCGTCCCCCCGCGATGCTACGCCGCTTCACGTTGCAGTTGTATTTGGAAACACTACTGTTATTAGGTACTATAAATTGGCTTCTACAAAATATATATCGAAAATAATATCTTCTAATGAAACGTTACGTTTCTATTATTCTATTGAGGATTGTATGTAAGCTCGGGTCAAAATAATTTACGAAAGTTAGACCAGCGGAAAGAAAAGAAATCACCTTGTCAAGTTCCAATCAAGTTTCATCGATTCACGTTTATCCGATTAATTTTTCACGACTTCTTTAGATATCTGGCAGGGAGGTTTCCAGAAACCACGAATGCGATCGATGTAGACGGACGAACACCGTTGCACTATGCGGCAACCCTCGCAGACAACGGCCATTACTACAACCTACTCCTTCACTTGGGTGCCAATCCACTAATTACTGATAATGTAAGTGCACTTCTTTTAATAATCAATTATTTGTGACACAAAAAACTATCATTTTTAACGATTCTCATTGGATAATGATAACAGTTTAAATAAATGCAAGAGGAGAATAACTGGTTTTATTCGGAAGTGTTTTGATGATGATTTCGACTGAATGTCAAAACATATTGAGTTTCAAATATTTTATACTTCATATTGCACACTTTATTTTATTCTATTTATTGAATCCGATTTTTTTTCAAGATATTTCTAATCATTATCATTGAAATTGTGATCAGAAAACTGTACGTTATTACAAAATTGTTTTAACCCTTTAGTTAACTATGCCTTAATTGTTTAATACTAATATGATTATATTAATATTCGTTGATGTTAAGAGATATATACAAATTTAAGAGGTAAAGTTGAAATTAACTGTGAATTAACAAGAGGTTAATCAAGAAGTGATATTAAAGTGCACTATTCTATTGTGTTAAATTGTACTATTCTATTCTATGTATGTGCTTACGTAGTTCGGACAGAAGGCGGACTATTACAAGCAAAATCAATCCGACTTCTCGCATAAATTATTGCTCCGCGATTTTGGGGCGAACGAGAAACTCGCCGATGAAATGTTGACTGACAAAGGTATTTCATTCAATCGTGGCACCCACATGCACCATCAATCACACAAAAAAAATCTGTACAATGATCGTTCGAAGCACTATCGAAACAATCACGATTATTTTGAAATCATGTATATTCAAGTTCTAATTCTATTTATGATACCATCACGTTGCTTCTACACCTTTACCCTCGTGTGACGTTCTCACACAGTCACAAATTAATGTCATCACATTGTAGAAAATCTTTCCAGGCAACTATGCAAAACGAAAGTTGATGATTAATTAATTGGAAACAATATTGACAGATATATTACTTTGTAATATACTGCAAATAACATTCACCGCGTAAAGACTCTGACGCCATCTTGAATATTCTGATAGCTTCCAGAGCCTTCTCAAGTTTTCCTAATTTCTTCAAATTCTTCATACACCAAAGCACGTATCATTAAAAATTAATGTTAAGTAAAGTTTAGTGGCAATTTGTATCGAAATGTGTGTTATAAAGATCTTGTACGATTTTTAAACAAAGTGGCGGTAATAACCGCGTTAAAATAGTCCCAGCGCAATCACTATCCTAATTTACCAATTATATTGGGCTGTAGCATAATAGATATACTGTTACTCACACATTCGTTCAAATACTTTCAAAGTAAGGTAAACATTTACAATAAGGGAGTGATTTCCGATTTCGATGATTTTTTAATATGCTTATCAAGGTCATCATCCTGAGTGGTATTGTGATGGTTTTAGTTTTGAGTCGCAGTTTGTATAAAAGTTATTATCAAAAAAAGTTTCGTACCGTACTGTAATAGTAATAATCAGTAAAATGACCAATGACCTTGACCTCGACATAACTTGTCAAGGTCACCCTCCTGACCTTCAGAAAGTCTCAGTTATCAAATGTTGTTTATTAAAAAGTTATTAAGAGAACAATGATACCTTTTTCTTGAACCGTCTCTAGCCAACTTTCAAAGACCTTGCTTCCTTGAATTATCTCTAACCAATTATGAACTAACTTTTTTTTATCATAACTCCCCCAAAACAATACACGAATTTCAACTTGTTGAAGTAGACTGAGAAGCTTATCTATTCTTTTGGGAAATACTTTATCATTGTTAATAATTTTGAAAAAAAAATATTGTGTCTTTTACTTCACCGCATTGAAATCGATAAGAAGGCCAAAGTTTTAATTATCTACCTAAACTTTTTTAATAACTTTCTTACAAACAACGACCCTCAACTGAAACCTTCACAACAATACTCAGGGTGAAAGACCATCGAACTTGAAGGTAGCTCCCTTACTGTAAATAATTACTGACAAGGGAACACCGCGAACCCTTACTCACGGATTTCAATGAAACTTTGTGGGTTTATAGAGTGATTCAAGGCAAGAATAACGGTATGCTTCATTCGTGCCCAATCGCCCGTTAAGGGTGTGAAAACTAACCTCAAAGTCAAATAGGCACTCCCACTTTTTTGCGTATAACCCTTAAAGTACAAGATATAGAAGAAAATGTTTCAAAGAAAAGTTTAATGGCACAATAAGCGCTATAAACTTGCGTTAACAGAATTTTGAAAAAAGTGTTTTAAAATTTGCTTGTTAAGAAAAAAACTTTCTTCAAAATTTTGGCAATGCATGTTTATAGCGCTTATTGTACCATTAAACTTTTGTTTGAAATATTTTATTCTATCTCTTGTACTTTAAGGGTTATACGCAAAAAAGTGGGAGTGCCTATTTGACTTTGAGGTTAGTTTTCACACCCTTAACTGGCGATTGGCCACGAATGAAGCATACCGTTATTCTCGCCTTGAATCACTCTATAAACCCACAAAGTTGCATTGAAATCCGTGAGTAAGGGTTCGCGGTGTTCCCTTGTGAGTTGTGAAAATTGTTATATTTACTGTTATCATTCTTTTGTGACAAATATTTCTTGTCCCTAATATGCAATTCGCGGTTTGCTACGCGACTTGGTCGCAATATAACAACCTTCTGCGAACAAATTTGCGAGTCACTGTCTACCCTGTAATATTACTCATCTATCCTCTAAAATTCTCGACACACTCTCAGATTCAAAACGCCACAAAGCTTCCATTTCCCGCCATCGCCGTGTCTCAGGCACTCGTTCAGTCCTGAAACTAGTGCAAATTCTAACAAAACCCCTGATTAACGTATCCTCGGGCTTTCACGTTTCACCGATCGTCATCCTCCCGGACGTCCTTCCCTTTCGCTGATGTCTCGATGCAACGTGACAATACAGTTCCCGGTGGGGACACGTACTCCGCCCGTCGCGACATAACCGAGCCGGAGACACTAGCCACCCTGGAGAGGTGTTTCCGTCTGCTGGCCGGCACGAAGCACAGCACCGGCGTGAAGTCGGCTGGGAACTCTGGTACACTGATCAACCGTTGCCTGAAACGGCCCGTATTCGATCGTATCAAGCACCGTGTGACACGCATGGACCATAACCTCTTTGATGTGATCTGGCCCGCTTTAAAGAAATACGGCACCTCGAGTTACAACAGCAAAGCGGGTAGCGCCTATTCGACCAGCAGCAACAGCGCGGAGGAGAACGAGACAGTGTCGGTTGTGGCGCCAGATTACGAAAGCTATATCGTCTTTGGGGAGTTCTTCGATCCCCTGATCAGAGACATCCACTGTGTGACAGCCAGCGGCGATCTGCCTGATCATCCACGTACGAGATTCTTCCTAGGCGAGGACGAAGACGGGGAGGAGACACTCGACAAGATCGACGAGGTGTCCATCACTGCGATCGAGGCTTATGATCTGGACCCTTCGGGGAAATACGTTCAGACTGTGACGATAGAGTGTTCCAGGAACCTCGAGTGGTATCCTTTTCCGTTAACATCGACTGTGAACCAGTTGGAAAACGTGGAACGAATAATCACGACGGAATTGATGAGCCAGGACATTTCTACGATCATGGCTGAGGGTAGCAGCGAGGATGAACCGGGGACTTACTTCACTCTCAATGAGATCTTAGATCAACCCAGTCCTATTAGAGCCCAATTAGCAGCTGCTGGGTTATTGTTACCGATCACTGACTTTGAAATACACGACGAGAGACGTCTCCATGGGAAACAGTGGCCCTACGGTCGAGGAGTCTACGTTGCTTCGGCCGGGGATCTAGCTGCCTGGGTGAACATTCAGGATCATTTGAGGATCATTTGTCGTACCCACGATAACAGGTCAGGTCTGATAGGTCGTGCCTACGCGAGACTGGCAAAGATTCTGGTGATACTCGATCGGACATTGACGTTCAAGAAGGATAAAAAGCTCGGCTTCATCAACTCGCGGCCGCACGCTATTGGGAACACTCTGAGATTCAATTCGATCGTACGATTCCCGGAGTTGTCGAAGGAGTTCGAACATCTGAAGCATCTGTGTGTGGTACGTGGACTGAGCTTTCGCGAAACGGTGAAAAATGACACGGTAAGGATTGGAAACCAACAATCCTTGAGTATCACCGAGCTACAGACGCTTCAGGACTTCTTCAGGGCTGTCACGAATATTTTAGCGTTGGAGAAAGAATTGGCGATAAACAACTCGATGAAAATCTCGAATCTACTCGCTGGAATATTCCGAAAGCGCAGCAGCGGGAAGCGTTTTCAAAATTAACGAAACCGAAAGACAGTTGTCGAGAGGATGAAGAAGTTGACGGGCGTCAACGAAGATTTTTAATTCTTTTCTTTTTACATGCCGGAACAACGACGCTTATACGTGGCAACCATCTGTGATAATTGTCGAGCCAATATATGTTCAACTGCCAATTAATTTTTAGTAGACTGTAAATCGAAGCTAGGGGGGAGGGGACGTTGGAAAGATGTGTGTGAACGTTACTCTCTATTTCTCGTGTAACGACTCACGATATATTCGTAGAAATTTAAACCATTCAATGGGACGCTGGATTGTTTATTAGGTTAGTAAATAAACGTCCGTTAGTAAATGTCGTCGCACGACACCCACGCTTACGTGAATTGTCTGTTACGTATATGATGGGAATTTATCGGAATTACCGTGGGGGAATCCGTTTAAATTGATTGTTCAGATGTTGCCAAGCTTGACAGAAGAACTGTCAGTGCTTCTTTATGTGTCACGCACGAGTTCGATGTTCACAGAAAGAGGGATGGCGTAGCACATGTCTTTCCAACTGGATGTACCCCAATCGACGATGAATATTTTGTTGAGTGGCTATTCCATGTGAACCCTATCACGAAGGTGTTCTATAACTGGTGGTACGATACAGAAATCAATCGGAAATGGAGAATAAAATGTTGAAAATAAAATTAATTGAAAATAAAAGGTCTTTACAAGAGAAGACCTTGTTTTCGAGAAAAATTCAATTCACGAGGTACCACAACTTTTGCTACCATAACCGACACGAGGAAATACTAAATACTTTGTTATTCAACAGTTTTACTAAGGAGTCCTTGCGGACCACTCAAACTCAAGTTTCTCGAAAACGAAGGCTACAATGAAAAATTTATTCTTATGTATTTATGTTTTTTTATTTACTTTATCATTTAGAATCTCCATCTTCTAGCTTAAACCACCAGTTATGAGCACACACATTAAAAATAAACGTTCCATATGCGTCTCATGTATTTCGAGGCGGATGTCCAATGTAAAATTCTCATAATTGTATGTATGTGCGTGCTTGTGCATTCTGTACTTCATACTTTTTGCATGTGTACACGAACTTTGGAGTGGGGACAAGCACTGTGTTTTCGTGATACAATTTTTGTTCGTGAAGTTCTGTACATAACCATACGCTTCTATGTTTGCAGCACTTTTGACACTAACGCGCTTCGATTTTAATAATTTATATAAATTAAATTGGTGAAATTGAACTGTGGTATTATAGTCGTTATTTTACATTTAGTTCGTCTTTTCAGATGATCAGCAGCTTGAGATACCAATATTTAGAGAAGAGGAAGGTCAATACTTAGCATCATGTGAGTAAATAAATAATTTAAAGATAATATTGATTGTTTAAGAAGATACTATAATTCATACGAATTATTTTACCAGCTCTAGGTGATCCACTGATCAAAGGCTTAACGGAAGTTGCGAACGCGCGTCCAAAGGATCCAGTCACTTATCTGGCGACATATTTATACAATTTTGCTAATAAAAGCAATAACAGTGCCCAAGAACGGGTAATTGTCGATTCGAATGAATTAAAATAACAGAGACTTACGTTACAAAGCTAATTGAAATATTGTTTGAAAATATTTCAGGAACCTAATGTCTTAATAATTCCCGATCGCGAAGAGGAAAATATTGAAGATGTTGAGAATGGAAACGCAGACGAAGACGCTGGTTACCCACAGAGCCCAGGTTCTGATGTCCCTGAATCAGCTTTCAGCAACCCCAATAGAGTACGTTTTCTAATATTTCTAATATCAGTTTTCTATTATTAGTAGATTGCGTACATTTGTGAATTTATAGCTACCCCTAACTTACAAAACTTAGAAAAATATAGGTTCTAATAAAATTGAATAATATTTACGTATTATTATTATGAACATATCAGAAACACTAGTACAGGACAAAAGATTCTGTTCAATTTTTTTTAGTATCTAAAATTCTACATTTGTATAAACATCCGAAGTCTGATTATTAGTATTTACAACTACTAGATACTACACTTTGGTGATTTTTTTTATAAAAGAATGAAATCATTCTTAAGAATTAATATCTCAGGATGAACATGGACAGAGTGTAATCCATTTCGCGGCCATTCGTTCTTACTCGAAAGATGGGCTGTTCCATCTTCTTCAGGAGAGCCAAGTCAATATTGGATTCAGGGACGAACTGTACAGAACAGCGAGGGACGTTGCTGAATTGGCAAACATTCGGGAAAATGTCGATGAAATTGACCGTTACGTGGCCTACCTAGCAGCCAGAGGTGAGAAATTAGAAATTAATAATTAATGACGACGATATCAAATGAAGGAAGTCCATAATCGACCAGTTCCGGTTTTTCGATAAATTATGCATTATATTTTGGAACAGAATATAGCCGTCTATTTGCCAAAGTGATTAACTCAGCAAAAATTATGAAGGAAGTTTATTTTGAATATAAACTGTTAAACACCAATCAAATGCTTTGGCACGAAAATTTGAAAAAATTCAAAAAATGAAACGAAGAAAAAATTCGTATGTGATCTATACAAATTACATTATCGAGAAATGTTCAAGATTTTCCAATATTACAGAATATAAAGATTTGAATTCTTATAAACTCATCTTTTTCTTACTACCCTGGAATTTTTTACAGAATTATAAATAATGATAGCATTTTTTTCTGAAATTTATATGCATTGTACGAATATGAAAGTGATGTAATGTATGTATTTATATTCAATTTGAATTGTTCAATACAGGCGAAACGGAGAAATTAGTGGAGCTGCTATTGGAAGGATACGACCATATTTTGGACGTGACAGACGGAGGTGTGAATATTGTGGACATCGCGGCGGAACGAGGACGGGACGCGACAGTACAGTTTCTGCAGTCTATTCCGAATTACGTGGTAAGACAGGAAAAAATGTATCACAAGAGTTTAACTCAAACTTACGGCTAGTAATGTCCTCGTAACTGTTTTTAAATAATAATATTTATTTTAAACGAAAATATTGGATGTACCCCAATAAGTCATTCGCTGTAGCTCGAACATGGCAGCGATGTACTTTAGATTCAGAATATCCTTCTAATCATCCGTTTAGTCAAAATGGCGGAGCATGATTGGAACAAATACATAACGAGTATTATTAAAATATAACAGGTATTTGAATTATTTCTATACAAATACAGAGTTTTACAAAAAATAGTTGGTTAGTTATTGGTACATCTAATATAAGAAATAATATTTTAATAATAAAAGATTATTGTATATTGATCGGAGCCAATAGCGTTTTGAAATTATTGTGGTATATTAAAGAAAAAAGCAAAATTTCTTATTAAGAATGACGAAGCAACCGTTTCATTATAGAAATAATCTTAAAAACCCTGAATATTAAACTGGAATTAAAGTAGTAGTTGAAACGATTTCTGCATTCCTACCGTTTAAAATATTTACGATATGCTTACTAAAAGTTAGGACAGGAAAGATTAAAATTTGAATTGTAGCCTAAAAAGAACAATAACGAAATGTTTTGATCCCCTGATAGCCAGTTGTGTACAAGTTTCGAGCAAATTGCCAGCAATAAATGACAAAAATTGTTTAAAAAACCATAGCCATCTGTTTCCGCATTTGACTTGGGTTTTGCAGTTCGGTCTTACAACATGACCTACGTCAAAACCGGAACAAGGTTTGCGCAAGCTAATGTGCGCACAAATTATTTATAGCAAATCTTGCATCACACTTGTAGCCATAACTTTATAACAGGCGTTGGACAACATTTGGCTTTACAAGATTGAAGATAAATGACGTTTTGAAGACGGCTTAAAGACGCCTTAGACCTAAAATAGCCGTAAAATACGCGTTTTTAAGGCGTCATGTGCTATCTGGGTTATAATTATACTACATGTCAGGTACTTTGAATGTCTATCATATTAAACACTTTTTATAGACGCAACGCGAGGAAGTACACCACGAAATTAGAGTAGGCGATATTGCAAAGGTGAAGGAGTTGTTGAACAGAAACAACGGTGGAGGAAAACTATTGGCGATGGGAAAGAATCCGATGAGTAGATGCGCCCTTCACATTGCCGTTCTTCGCGAGAACGAGGATCTGGTTGAATTCGTTGCAAAAACATACCCGGAAACTCTACGAATCGGTGACAACGTGAGTACTATCAATTCGAAAAATTACCATTAACCCGAGTGTTCACAACCGGGTACCTAAGTGGCCACTCAGGACTTTGAACTCGAAATTTGTTATGACCACGATAAAATATCTTCAAATCTCTTTAGATCCTCATTATTTAATTCATTTCTGATCTCTTCATGTATTTATACTTAAAATATTGTTTCGTTAATATAAAGAAAATTGACTTCAAAATTTACAACACGCTTGTTTCATAACTGGGATACCCGAGTATCCCCATAGAATAAATCATAACTGACGTACAATTTAAGAAAAATCCTATAATATAGAGTTGCAAAGTGCAATTAAATCAATAAAAATGACATAATTATTAATAAATAAAAACATTGTTTACAATCGTTCGGTGAACCATATCTTAACCGTAATTACATACGCGCGTAATGGATTTCCAAACTCGATTTTCCCTAAAACCAAGTATAGGACGAACAAATTTTATTTCTATATTATTTTCTCATTTTTTCGTGAAGAATCACTTCGTGCCCTTTGGGCGTGTTTTTTTTCAGCGAATAGATATGTCGCTAACTTTCTTTCTTCGGTTCAAAGAGTAAGTAACATGTAGTTTTCTCCAATAGAAAGAGAAAGGTAAAATCGGTTAGAGGGTTGTAAATAATGGTCATTGGTCGGCGGCTACCTGGGTACCCCGGTCATGAAATAGCGTGGAACTTCTCGGTTATAAACACAGAAGCTTCAGCTAAGCCAATTTCTTCAAATCTCGTCGACTGTTTGGATCCATTTGACCCGAAATCAACGTGTGATTGTAAATTATATTTTCTATTATAAAAATTTGTTAATTAATTTCACACCAATAGCTTACATATATAATCCAGCGATAGGGAAATATATATATATTTCCTTAATTTGATTTTAATTCAGGCTCAATTTAATTCAAGGAATAGTAATATTTGATTTCATCAAAAACTACACGTTTATTCATAAAAATAGAATTAAAATGTTACCTTTTACCAATGCCTCGTGTTCGAAATTCCTTCCACTTCTTTATACACAAATATCGAGGAAAACTTCTCGTTACTTCAAACACAAGTACATTCCCGCATATAAGTATTAGAACACTTACCGAATATCTAGTAAATGTTACAAGGCATTACGAAATTACTGATAATGTGATGTAAATATTGTACAGGATATTATCCAGTTATTATCGCGAATCCATCCTGTGTTCCGCATTTTTATTAACACGGCGTATATCTTCGCTGTCTAATTTACAAAAACTGGAACCACACTTTTTTTATGATAGGTTTATTCTACTAAAAGTTATTTTATGAAACACTTTAGATAAGTTTAACATTTTAGTAACTTTAAAAGGCGTATGTACTATAAGTGAAGATATAAAAGTTTTTCCACTATTACAATATGCAGAATCAATTCCCAAAATATGTATTAGAATAAATATCAATTAGAATGAATGTACAAACGTAACAAAGTAATATAAATAGAAGAAAGAGGTATATGGTTGAAGAATAAATATTTTATTTAAAAAAATGTTTACTGCTTAGTATATACCCAGGGTATTTTAAACAGAAAATTTTCTATTTTAGTTGGAAAGAACTGCTTTGCATTACGCGATGGGCCTACAATCAGTTGAACAGTTGAGCACCATTCTGATCAAATCGGGTGCAAAGCGCATCGTCAAAGATCTGGTAAATAATCTCTGTCGCTTTAACTATAAAATGCATGAGTTAACAACATTCTTATAATTCTCATTTCAGAAATCACGACAACCTTCCTACTACTTCATGAACAAGTCTGACATTGAAAGGCTTCAGGAAGAAGAAGAAAGTCTGATGAAGTAGATCATAGATCCGACCGGACGATGAAAGCTGGTGTACATGCTATAACGAACTCGTAAAATATTTTTTTTTTTAAGAACCTTGGGACGGGTCTCCGGCAACAATTTTTAGATTCGCCAGAAAAAAATTTTCTTTCGCTATTTTATTAGTTTTATAAACGTTTACGAGATTTCTATCGTTATAGATTGGTCGTACTTAGTTTAGAAATAAATATAAATGCAATTAAAGTTTCTACATCGGTTTGAAAAGTATCCATTACAGGAAAAGAGTGCTTATTAACGTGTTACTGGATGCAACCAAACGAAAAATGATGAAACATATATTGACCATAATGTGATAGTTTTTGGTAGTAATCTGGTATTTCTTTAAATCACTGAAAATTGACCTAAAAATCAATATCTCTAAAATTATATTAATTGCATCAATAAGTATGTATTTAATTATATTTTATCAAGTTTAATATTTATTTTCGAGGAAACCAGAAGTCTATCTTGTTTTAGCGATATTTGTCCTCATTCTTCAATATTCGTCGCCATTTTGAAAGAAGAAAAAGGGTAGAAAAACGTTTTAAATTTAAACTGTGTTACCAACTTATTAAAAAGAAACAGTGGATTACTTATTCGCACACCTAATATATCGTGTACATTGAATCCTACTTACTTATATCCAACATTTTACGAGTTCGTTATATCTTTCACACTTTCGACCAATCACACATACATTTATTCGGCATACATTGAGAAACAGTAAAATGCATTCGAAGGAAATACGATCATGTGCCACTTTATTCTGTGTATTAAGACTACCATCGAACCCCATTTCTCAAAGTATGTCTTTGGCAATAACAAATGTGCAGAAACTATTCCCCGTAACCCTGTGTAAAAAAAGAAAAAAAAAGAGAGAGAGAGACGATGGTTTTGTATAACGTATCCACATCGTGTAATGTATATATATATAATACAGTGGTAGTGATAGAAATAATAAATAAAAAAAGAGTACTTGGTTTTTCCGTACACATTTCTTTTTATCACCTTCCACGCAGGCACTTGTTTACGTTCTGTTGTCTTTAGTATCTAAAATCTCTTCCGTATAATAAGTCGAGGCCAACAAAACGATTTGCGTTCCGATCCTCGCCACTACGGTTCTCTTAATTCGTCTAAATAACGATCGAAGAAACGCCGATTAGCGATTATCTTCCGATACGTTCGAGTGTTCCGGTTGGTCCACGGTGAAAAAGAAGCGAAGATTGTAAAGTGTACAAAGTATATCTACTACGAAATAAGATTATTTGCTCGGGATATCTGTTACACAGTCAGAGAGGCCTGAACATCATTCGAATCGTACGACGAAACTCGAGCAAAGGATAAATTATGCCCTCGTGGGGCAGCCACAGTATACCACGAGTCTGTGATCCAAAGTGCAACACATATACAAGGTGCCCCAAAAAGATGCGACAATCTGCAGTATGCATATTCCTCATGCAAATACAAATCGAAAACTCCTTCACCGTTTTGTAATCTGAAGCTCTGTTTCCGAGATATTAGCAGTTAAACGAAGTCCAATCAGCTGAACGGTGGGCCGCACGTACGCGCAGCACAGTCAAGAAGCAGAGGCCAGTGTAGCCAACCGCTCAGCTGATTGGAGTTCGTTTAACTGCTAATATCCCGGAAGCGGAGCTTCCAATTAAAAAATGCTAAAAGACTTTTCGATTTGTATTTGCATGAGGAATATACATGTTGCGAATTGTCCCATCTTTTTAAGACACCCTGTATAATCGTGGCTCCACTCTCGTCAGTGATATCCATCTGGGACTCTACCTTCCCCCGTAATGTCGAACGATCGGACCACGTGACCGGTTTTCGACCCGCAGTGTCCTCGAATTTCCAATTTTCGTCGTTGATATTTCCGTATCATTGAAAATACGCGGTACCTTTCTTACTGCTAGTCTTGGCCTGCTGGCTCGGAGTTCTCTTGCCGTTCGAGAAGCTCTCCTCGTCGTCTTCGGACTCGTTGACGATTCCCTGCCAGGGTGTCGGGTTCACGTACGATGGCTTTGCTTTCTGATGAGCTGATAGTTTGAAAATAACGTCAAAATTAAGTTTTTATCATCCTGGATAACATACAGGATGTTTCATTTTATTTGGAAACTTTTTTTGACAGACACATGATTCCTCCGATAAATGCACATAAAATACGACGTGGATCCATGAACATCCGCAATATACCCAGATAGCATATGACGCCTAATGATACCTTGAAGACGGCTTAAAGGCGCCTTAGACCTAAAATAGCCGTAAAATGGGCGTCTTCGAGACGTCATGTGCTATCTGTGTAGTAATCGTATGATTATTTTGGGATAGCCAAATTAACATGCTGCAACTTGAAACACCCTGTATATATTTAGGTACCGGTACAATGAATAGTTAGCCTTTTACACTCGACAAAGTTTTTAGCAGATATTTATACACTTCCCTAGCGATAAGTTGCCTTCGAATTATATTACATATAGGATATCATTGAATTTGATTTTTTAAATAAGGTATCAATATAAAAATATAGTTTTCACTTTAGAAAATCAAGTCCACATTGAAAGCAACATTATAAAAGAAGAAAATAAAAGTTACTTTCGTTTCATTTGTGTTCATTAGTTTTCACGTACCAAAAAAACAAAATGGCGGCGCAAGAAGACCTCACCGTGCCTATGTATACGAAATTTTCGATGATGCCACAATATTTTTCGAGTGGAAATGGTTAAAATTAAAGGGAAAAGGGTGGAACTAACGCAGAAGCCCCTGTGTGGCAGGCTTGGGCCTGTTCTTCGCGTTCTTCCGCCAATTTTCATAAGCCTTCGTGCTCTCCTCTAACCTTTTCTTTTTTTCCTCGTCGATCTGCCTCTGCTTGATCGCCTCTTTCTTTTGACGAGCTATGGGAACATCGAGGATATCAAATCTTGAACAAATCGAGAAATTCCATTCACCTTTCTCTTCCTCTTCCTTTTTACGAGCCCACTGACGAAGACACAGAATCTGCACCACTGCATTATTATCCTTGAACTCATTCAACTTCTTCTCCATTTCCAATTTCTTCTCTAGAATCTCCTTCTTCCTCTCCTCCTCCTTCCGTTTCCGCTCGTTCCATTTCAAGAAATTCTCCCGTTCCCGAGATTCCCTCTCCTCCTTCTCGCGTGCCAATCTCTCAGCCTCCATTTGCTTTTTCCTCTCGACCTGATCCTCTTCCTCCTTCTTTTGCCTAGCCATTTGCTGCTTCCTCCTCATCCACTCGCTGTAAGGGATTTTCTTAAGGAGATCGTCTTTCGACGATCTGGTCTCCGAAATACTGATGCTGGACAACGAGGATGTCGACACTTGCACGACTCGATGTCCATTCAGAGTGAACCTACGCGATACAATGTCTCGAGCTTCTGATCACTTTGTTAACATTACTTTCAAGTGGACGTTCCACGGTTAATAATTCTGTTAATCACAACAATATTAATGAAGTGACGATAGATTAATACTGAAAACGTCGAAATCTTTCCCAAGAACGTAACACGGCATTAAAAATTTACAGAATACCTTTGCACTTCCGGATCGAGTAGCCTAGCAGAACAAAGTTTGTCGCTCCCGTCCGCTCTACCGACAATTCTGCATCGCCTCTCAACCCGATTGGGGGCTCCGCATGAGATTACGGACTTGGATCGTAGAGGACCAGATTCCAGGGATCCAGACGAATGTAGGGAATAACAACGGTACGTGTCCTGGGCTGAAGCTTGGTCGCCAGCGTGGTTCGCGAACGAAGCGTCCAAATCGTTCTTGATGGACAACGTAGACATTACGTCGCTCATTTCCGTGGAGTCACCGCAATTACCTTCGATCGGAAGTCCATTGTCTTTAGAACTGACCTTCACGCGAATTTCGATCTCTCGTTCCTCGTCTTCGTTGTTCAGTGTCTCGGCGTAAATCGCTGGATTAATGAAGCGAACTTCTGCGCCGGAACTCGAACTCCCAGGGATCGCGGCGTGGTTGACGAACCCATTGCTACAGAAATTTCCTTCCTGACTGTCGTTGTAAGTCGAACGATTGAACTGATCGGGACCGGTTAGTCGTGCATCGTTCCCGGCGTTAACGTTCCTCCCATGGAGTAGATCATTGAAATTATCCCGTTTCCAATCGTACCATCTGTCAGCGTCGCTGTCAACCATTGTCAAGTGTCCTTAACCTTTGGCCCGGTAATATGCGATGATAATAACGATCAGACAAAAGTGTGTCGAATGTTCAGAACACGTCACATATCGTAGGCTTGCGATCTGTCGTCCGATTAGCCCCGATGAGTCCGAACGGAACTCATGGGTACCCGTTCGTCCATGATTCACGCGACGTTGCACTTTTCGCTCATAAACAATGACGAATCCCCTTAAACGACGTCGAATTTATAGGTGAATTTTCAGCAGTGTTCTCGCACGATTCCGCGTACAGATTTTGTGATTGATGGCGGTGTCGCCTTCAGTTGGAAGGAACACCCTCCATTAAGCGTGCTTCTAGTGACGCTGCACACAGCTAAGATTCGAATTCGACAGTGGCTTGGTTGACTGGTCATAGATGATATTCCCATGGAAAACAGATCACGCTCGACCTTGCGTCGATCGTTTGCACGCGGTTGACTTTGATATAACGTGGTTTTCATAAATTCGTATAAATATCTCAAATGTCTACTAGTACCTCGGATCATCCACCTATACAATAATACATTTATTATTTTAGAATGTAAAATAGTTTTGTATATTATTCCACGTATTAGTGCATTCAAAATTGAGCGCATTAGAGAACATCCTATAATCCGTGGAGCAACGTCACTCGAGCGAAAAATGAATCTTTAATTCCGACAGGTAATAAACACAAGTAGTTTATTTAAGCTAAAGTCTTTATTTGTTTGTTCAACTTATTATATATACTTATATTAACTTTTGTGCTTGATCGACGTATATCACTTGATTCTCGATTCAAAATTAATTGAGATCATACAGGAATTAACGTTCCGTTGATATGAAGTTTCTTAAGTTCGATTCAGTTGCATTGTTCTGCCTAACGATCATCGTATATTCTTCCGTGATTTCCTCCGCTGGAACCTTGTTAAAGTACGTTTCCCGCTCCTGATGCACGTAGTACGTATCGTCGAAGTTAAAGTGCATTCCGAGCACGATATTTAGTGCAGAAGTGTCGTATGCGTGACAACCGGAATACCGGTATTGCGGTTTCTTATTAAATCGACAACCTGCCGACTGAGCTCCTGCAACAGTTATGTAAAGTATTTTTTACGTAACCGTTTCCAATTATAAAACATGCTTGCTGATACAATCGTACTTAAGTTCACAAGTTTTCGCTGATTAAGGCAATTGAGAAGTCAATATTTTACTTCGGTGCTCCATGTTCTCAATGACTACTGAATATGCACGTGATATGCATACAAAGGAAAAATCTTGTATAAGCTATAGAATCACTAAGTAGATATAAATAATAGCTGAAGAGGTATCTTAACACATATCTGCCCCAAACCCTATTATCATTCTTTAATTTCCCCCGTAAATTGTTACATTATGCTACTTGGGCTGCCTTCGTTAAAGTTGAAAAATTTATTAAAATGTTCTGATTGATAGATAAAGTGTTAAAGACGGAGTCAGCAGGAGACCCTTTTATTCCATGGAATCCTTACTGTAATACAGGTTCTTCTAATATTAAAATCAAGCCGCCATATTAGTTAATTTTAATGATTTACATTTAATAATTAAAAGTATTATTCATTTTTATAATAGGGTATCTAATCTTAGTTTATTATAAAATTTTTATTATAAAATTTATAAAATAAAAATATTTAAAAATCAGTTAACAATAAATTAAAATTTCACGTAAAATTTAGAAATTTAATTAATTTAATAAATCATTTTAATCATGGAACCCTTAAGAGGTCGTGCAATTCGATATTGTAGATGTCGAAGCACGCGACATTAAGAGAAACTATGCGTGAGTCCAGCTTAAACTCGTGAACTGTAAGAAAGTTTTAATATACATACCAATGGGACAAATGCAATCTCTTGTTAGCGCACATTGAACCCATGGCAACATTATTTTCTCTCTAATTTCTTTAACATTCCTAACAACTAAGTGCGATGCTCTTATTAAAGGGAGAAAGAAAAAACTTTCTGCAGAAACGTGAAAATATTCATACATCTTTGGATGCGTCAAGGAGCTAATGGCGTGCCTCGTAGGCCAGGTTAAAATCCCAGATTTTGGTAGAAGGTACTTCGAAATATCTGACGAATTCAAACGCACATTTGAATCCATATACAATATGTTTCCTAATGCGTTTAAAGCTGTCTGTGATACATAAGAATATTTAATAATATATGTTTAATTATAATAATTATTTAGTGTTTAATCATGTTGATAATTTAGAGTTTTACCTGAATAATTAAAGGTCTATACACATGCAGTCTATCATCTTCGACGTGTGCAGGAAACTGACTTGTGTCAAACTGAGTCACATTACACTTTGTAGAGTTACAAGCTGTTCTAATGTTTTGCAAAGAATTATCATTTAATCCAACACTATAAATGACAATACTATTATTTGGCAAAAAATGACTGACATTTCTAACAAAGCCATATATGTGCTGTTCGTTTCCTGGCCTTATGAGGGAGACAACAGTCACATTTTGAGATTTAAGACTAAATGGTGTTGTGCTTGCCTGTCCATCCAAGCCAAGCATTGCAAGATACTTAGAGTCTGTCACCAAGCGTTTCTCTTCAACATCTTTCAAGTTTTCCTGGAAAATTGGACACGATTATTTCTTCATGGCATACTACTGAAATTAACGTGATCTAATATGAAGAACTACTCTCTTAGTTATCATAAACTAACAAACTACAGGTAGCCTTTTAAAACTAAAACCAAAATTGATCTATGTGTTGTCATTCAAAGGGTAAATAATTACGAGATATTTAGATATATTTACTTGGAAGTTACGTAGCTGTTTGTGAGTCTCTGTAACCAGAGTCTGAATAGAAGGTCGTTGACTGCTCATAGCAATGAAAATAATGCTGCTCCCTGCTATGCAGATAAGGAACAATAGCAGGCCCCTGGTACGCATCTCTCATCATTTAGTGAGATGTTTTTTCAGTTTTTAGACGATAATCACACTAATGCGTTACGTTAGAAACAGTATACGTAGGTTAGACATTGCCTGTGTCATGACTAATCATCACTACTCGGTTATCGTTATAACCAGAATGAACTGCTGATAGTAGAATATCAGTGAAGTACATTGCTCAATGTTTAGTTTACAAGTACATTTATCAAGTAAATTTATCGATACAATACTTGAAATCGTAGAATTGATTAGTTAGATCAATTTACATCACTCTTTCTGATAACAAAGCACTGTCAGTGCTCTAGCAGACGCCGCATTTCTAGGAACTTCTTGGTCAAATGGTAGCCCTGCATTTGCGCAACATGACTGCATACTGCATACTGCATAACTCAGCATATACATATAACTGCATACAGACTAGAGATGGCGTGCAAAATCACTAACGGTGATTTATCACAGTGATCGCCGAATAACGATCACGGTGGTGATTTAACTTCATTCACGACCATGATTGCGATTTTTTTATCTTGAGTGAATTTGCTTACTGCGATCCTAAGTCCTTGATCTTTAAACAGAAAAACGTATTCAATATGATTTTACGATGAATTACATTACTATTTGTGTTTGTAAAAATTAGTAAGAAAAAACAAGAAATTCTGAAAGAATGATTTGCTAGGTAACATGTAGATTATAATTTATAAACATTAATTTATTCATTATTCTTCATTGTTTCTAATTATTCCTTCACTTTATACGATATAACTCGAATTTTTGGTTCGATGTAGTTAATATAAATGTAAAATATACAGGTTATGAGTCGCGTGTAAAGTACTGTTATGTTTCTCCACCAATTAGAAACGATCACGAAAAATTACAATTCACTGTGAAAAATCACCGTGATTAGGAACGAACGTGATCAAATCACTCGTGATTCGTAAATAGCAGTTCACACCATCTGTAACTTGCGTTCTGTTCTCCTTCACATGGCGGATGCCGAAAACGTAAGTATTGTGACACGTGTAAAATTGATTTAAAAACCATTTGTTCCATAATAATCTCAACACTAATATCGAAATCGTATCCGTTTGTCACTTTATTTCGTAATCAAACAGAGAGTAAACGGTTTATTTTCGCCCTTTCGTGAAATATGAAATTTCCATTTCCTATTCCTGGAAATCTGCAATAAACCTCTATTATGCAGAAACAATATTTCGTTTGCTCCTCGTTAATAAGTTGTTATTGAGATATCTGACTATTGATTATTATAAAACAGATCAGGAGCAATTTATTGGTGCTATAATATTTGTTTGAAAAGGCCATTTACTACCTATTTTGTTAACAACAAATTTTTGCTTTTTCTTTTGCGAATATCTCATTAACTATTAACGGTGCTGTGAGAGCAATTTCAGATTTGGAAGGAGCAAATTGGGAGCAATTTTTTGAGATATAAATCGTTAAGATACGTTAACATTCGGCGCCAACTATTTTCCGGTGCATTTTTATATCATTAGGAATTATCACTCACCTGTCGGTATGATTTGGCTAGCAGTTTGAGCGAATTGCCACGGGTGGTGCCACCGGTCGAAAAAAATAGGGGTAATCCGCGATTTAATACGATTTTAACAGTGTTCTGGTCGTTTATTGTTATTGCCCATGACAGGGGATTAATCTACGTTCTTTAAGCTACACGTCAAGTGCTTAATCAAGACGAATGATGTCCACGTAACGCCGTGAGACCTTTCCAAATATGAAATAAACGAGGAATGCTTGTCAGGGCTCAGAAATCCTCACGTGCGCACTCTGCTTCCACTAGGGGAAAAACTAGCGTTGGGGAAGGGCCTCCCGCCACTTGATAAATTTATTTCAACTACTGATATAAATGTTAAATCGAATGTTAATTTGGCATCAATTTCAATAATTCCCAGTACCAAGTGATAGGAAACTTTTCTTATACACCACTTTTTCCCTTAGCGGAAGCCGAGTTTGCACGTCAGTGTACGGAATGTTCACATGGGGAGTTCATCAAATTCAAGCCTTGCAATCCTTTTATTTTAAATTTTACTTTAATTTCAATTTGTTCGTTTTTGTTTTACATGTAGCCACTAAAAATATAAAAATTTGTTGATTACAAACAAAATGTTTATCTATTATCGTTTTTTACTTTAAACATTTTAGAGGTTTGCAAAGCATAATGTAAAAACATTGAAAAAAATTAAATACTAAAAGAAAATGTTGAAACTAACAGACTGTTATATAGTAATGAATGATACTTTATTTTTTAGAGTAGAAACATTCAACCACACATTACTTGACGGACAAAATCTTCGTAGTTAATATTACCCTGTGAGTCTTCGTGGCCAGCTAATAATGTTTCTACTTCTTCATCACTGAGTTTCTCACCTGAAACAAAGTCCATATATGTTTATTTAATAATGAAATTTGATACACATGAGCATATTTTGAAAGAAAAACCACTTCTCTAGCATACCTAAAGTTGTTAGTAGATGTCTCAATTCAGCAGAAGATATAAAGCCATTTCCATCTTTGTCAAAGTGACGTAAACCCTCTATAAAGTCGTCTGCTGTATCAGATGTTCGAGATTTGCTTATAGCTTGGTAAATTGGTAGAAAAACTTCAAAACTGATACGTTCATCGGGTTTATGCTGATGGGTAAACTTTTTTACATCCGATTCAGTCGGATTTTGTCCAAGAGCTCGCAGAGCATCTCCAATTTGGGCCACATGAATTTTTCCATCTCCTCGACTGTCAAACAACTGAAATGCCTCCTGAAACTCTAAAATAGTGCAAACAACCTTTGATTACAATTATTAAGAAAAATAATAGCAAATCTGTCTATACATATTATATGCGAATAGCTTCACTGAACTGAAAAGTACTGAACTTAAATTTTAACTTAATGCCATGGACTTCGTAAACAGTAAATTTATTTACCCTCAATAGATGACATCATTCTATTAGTAAGTTCCTGATAACTACTACAACCATACATATTGCACCATATATGTTCACAGAAACTCAAGATTAATATAAAATAATATTATAAAATTTTGTAGACATACGAACTATTGATAATGAAAATAATGCTAAATAAATAACAACGGAATCAATTTACGAACGCAATAGTTATGTTGCGACCGCGCTTCATCTGTTTACGCGATTTGACGGAATAGAAGCAACTTATTTTAGAAAAACGTCAATTGTAAATTATATGTATACGATTTTACACGAACTCACACCAGTAGTACAGACCGAAAAAAACGTATTTAAAATTGAATATAGAAACGTATGAACCAACCGACGTGACGATAGCGATGCTATACGCTGTCTGTCTTCCTTTCTTCTTTTCTGCTACTATTTCTTCAAGTACCTAACCATAAAAGGTAATGACCGACACGCAAGTCGGTGACACCAGGGTGTGGGTCTAATAAGGTAAAACGATATTCTTGACCTGAATTAAACACTGAGAAAAAAACTGTCCGCCCCTCCTTAATCGTTGCTTCTCAAGAATCCATTTACGTTCACTTACCTGCCAGTTGATCCTCCGAGTATGATGCCTGTAATCATAACTCAATTGTATTGTACCGTCGCGTCTACTATTTAAATATATTGTTTCTGTAAGAATAGTATACAGGAACGAATACTTACCATTCTGATTGCTATTTAACACACCCTAAAACACGCACAATCTATCCTTCAACCGCGTGAATATATATATGCATGTATACATATACAGTCACGTAGCGCTTCGATCGTCCTAGTAAGATTTTCCTCGTTGAATGCTCGCAAGCAGCTGACGTGTGCGTATTATACATGCATACATAAATATATGCTGGCCAGCGAAAGTGACTCACGCTGATTGATATTTCATAATGGAATTTTTATATCTTTCATCATTTTGGAAAATTTCAAAAATTCTTTCTATCACAATTACCGTGAAAAGGGAATTTTTAAGTTTGTGTTTAAAGGCAGCAAATTGTACAACATATAAAAAAGAGACAGATAAAGGAATTGAAAAGAAAACTTTAAAAATTTCATACGTCTAGACGAAGCCGATAATTTTATTAGATTTTGAATGGTAATTAAAATATAGAAACTGTGCAGAAGATTAACTCTGTATAGGTAAAAAGAAAAACAAGCAAACAAACTTTCATTTTGCAGAAGGATTTCTTCAATTCGTCAGGTCTTGCCGAAAAATTAAATATTTGCCGCCAGCTATCGATTTATTTGACCGTTCATAAACAGACTGCGGGAGTTTATGCAAATTCATAATGTCAGATCTACTACTATAATAACTAAAACTCAAAACGGAGCAGAATTTTCAATTCTGTACCGGAGGCTTTACAACATTAATAATAACGGATTGATAGTATCAAACTTTATTCAAAGCTTTAGTTTGTTGCGCTTTCCATGTTAGAAGACGCTATAAATGCATAAAGATCTGTAGTCTATTCATAAATCAGTGCAATCGACATTTTGAGAAAATGAAAGTTCATTGTACAAATGTATGTACACACTCAGATATCACATGACGCCTTGACGACGCCCATTTTACGGTTATTTTACGTCTAAGACGCCCATCATTAAGCAGTTTGTGTGCTATCTAGGTACATGTGAGTACATGTATGTATAATATGTATATGTAAATAGTAATTCTATCTACTACTTTTACGGGATTTCTTACGGTATTTATATTGGTAATGTATCTTGCCGTAGGTCGTTATTCTTATAACTTAAAAATTAGAATATTTTAGAGAACGATATAATAATTAAATTTAAAGAATAAAAGGCGAAATGCATACACACGCTTGTATGTACTAGTAATCAACAATCGTAAGGCTCGATAAACTTTTCTATTTTAGAATTTACACCACCTATTCTTTGCATCAAGTTCTGCATAACTGCAATCACACAACATTTACACGATGTTACGTCGAACATCATAGATTTATTTATGTGTATAACGCAGAATAATTATCAATAACTCACGACTGGGAACCGTATGTAATCCATTCTAATGATTTCGATTATAAATATTCTATAATTGCAATGGTAGAAGTATATGTTGTCGTGTCTTAACAACTTTATGTGCGTACATTTAACGTTCTCTCTCTCTTCACACACACACACACACACACACACACACACACACACACACACACACACACACACACACACACGGTATTGTACGCCTATGCTCGTACATAAAAAATCTCCGCCGCGCATTTTATAGCGATTTTAGGTGCAAAACGTGTGAAAAACATTACAAAGTAGGTAGATATGCACTGTAATAAGAGGACGTGGTTTCTTTGTCGATCCGCGTGTAAAATTCGTATCGTGTGCTTTAACGCAATCTATAAACTACAAAGAGACTGCGTTACTCAGGATTGCGGTCGGTTTCCGTGAAGAAAAGTATATATCATATTTCTGAGCTCGATGTTCGTTATAAACGAAGTGTCTTGCAAAAATTTGTTTGTCATAGGACTTGTATATTTTCCGCATAAAAACCATTCGTTTATAGCTGCTCTCTCGTACGTAAATCCGTCTGGAAACATTACAGAAAGTGTTCATTTGTGATACAATTTATGCACATATGTATGTATGTATTACTATGTATGCACTTAGAAATACACTATTGTTCGGTATAGCAGTGGCTCTCATAGTGACTGTATGTACCCTCACGAGCAAACTCGGCTTCTATTTATTATAGTAGAATATCGTTTTTCGTTTCCTGTCAAGGACCGAGTCCAGAGACGTCAAGTATAAAGATACAAATATGCGACGAAACGTAAACTATGTGGGTGTCAAAAGTATTCGTAGACCCTTTAAAACGGAACTCTTTTAAAATTGGTCCAATTTTAAAAGAGTTGTTCCGTTTTACAGGGTGTACGAATACTTTTGACACTCACTGTAATTCAGATCATTTATGATTTTTCTACAATTCGAATTATGGTTTGAATCAAGTGAAATTCAGTCTTATTTTTATCAGGAAAACTTTGTCATAAAAAGTTTACACACATATTTTCTAGGCATATTGCATATTTCTTACCAGAACATCGAACGGGTTCTTTCATTATCTCATGCGTGATGGGGCATAGAAATTCATGAGGTATTTCAGAATCGTCTATAGGGGTTTCAATAACGTTGTTGTCTTCGCGCTTCAACCAATACAGCTGAGTTTTGAAAATTTCAACCGCCTAAAAAGAAATGCATTAGCATTACGAAATCCAATGCGGACGATCGACAGCTCTTAATCGGTATACAATACAGCGCCGTACGTGTTCATCTTGTTCGATTTGTAGGTTCCTTGTTAATTCGTCTTCCGATGCGTTGAGCAATAGACGACCGGTTAGATGTATCGTACGAGCTCTCTTCGTTAACGCGAATAATCCTATTTCCTTCAGCCATTTTAACGTGTCGTCAACTCTCCAGTTCACAACCTACCGCATTGAAAATTTCCCGGTGTTAACAATAACTTTACCGATTGTACTAGATACTGTAAGTAATTATTTCTTTGTTTTTACCTGTTTCCTGTTCTGCTTCAAGTTATCGATCAAGATATTCTGCGAAATCAGTTGTTGAGGTATTTTCCAGACTAGGATTGTTTTGTCTAACGCACCTGTTCGTTTGGAATAGTTAGCGTTAATGAAACAGAGAAGCGATCTAGGCAAGTGCGTATGGAATAGTACATGTTAATAATTTGTTTCAACCTGTAATAAAAAGAGAAGTATTTTCGGAAAATGCGCAGGTAGTTGCAAGGCTTTCGTGTTCTTCTAGTACGTATAAACAATCTCCAGTGTACTGAAATCATATTATAAACATTGTACATTATGAAACATACAACATACATACCTACATATGTATATATGTATGTATATACATATGTACGAATATATTCTTTTGATCGTGGCAACAAAGGATGGATAAATTTGTCCAACGGCCACATAAATATGTAGGTAGATGTTCTTTTTTCACGTAAAGAGGAGAAACAAAGAAAGGGAGGACGATCATTACTTACTAATTGTAACACATCGTACTTACTACGCTCCAAATACGGGCTGTTCGATCGGTAGCTACGCTTCCTAGGATTTCTCCTTGAATCGGTGAAAACCGAACACACGTGACGTTACCGCCGTGTCCAGTCAAAACGTTTCTTTGTTTGTATCGTGTATCGCAATCGCTGCTTCCGGTACTGCCACCTCCTGCCATGATGGTCTCATTTTTCTTATAAACTGTTATTTGCCATAATTTCACCAATGAGTCATTACCGCTCGTCGCTAACAGGTAAGATTGCTTATCATCGTCAGTCAGCCCTCTTCCTGCTGTTCAAAGTAACGCAATAAACGATAATGTATGTACATACGTTTATGTACGTGTACACAGTTGGCATGTGCGGAGGTCGTTTTCCTTACCGGTAAGAGTGAAATTGGCGGTTGGGCTAAAATCACAACCTTGAACGCCCAAGTCATGAGCTTCTTCGCAGATCATCAGAGCAGCATTACATTTATTGTCCATGGTATTAAATAACCTCCAAGATCCTTCGTTGCATGCCGTAACCAAATAACGAGAATCATGCGTAAAAGCGACAGCGTTCACCGCATCTGAATGGCCTCTGAAAGTACTGTGAGGCATCACAGGTTCGATAATTAAATAATTCTTTTTTATCGTTTGGTTAATTCTAACGTGTGCATGTATATATGTGTATATGCACGTGTGTATGTACGTATGTATGTAACAATGTAATTGTGATTTGGATTTTGTAATTAGATTACATTTTGCCCAACTCTGGTATGTACATGTATGTATGTATTATGTATAACGGTGGTCACTATTAGCATGAAAAAAAGCACGTTCGTCACTTTATTATTTTTAAATTGTTTGAACGGATTCGTAACATCGTCATTTTCGTGCTGGTTAAAATTCTAGAAGATTATTTACGTGTATGTAATATGTATGATTCAAGTACCAAAGCTCCACCATATTATTTACATCCCATAACGTTGCTATTTCATCGTCTCCGGCTGTAGCAATTTTGGTGCCATCCGGTGACCATCGACAGACGCGAATGCCAGATCCCGAATTTACGAAAGAAGATTTTGCTTGACTCCCGTTCTACGATAGATCAGTGATAAACGAGAATGAAAATACATGTAACAGTTGAACATTAATGATAAATAAATGTGTTTTGCTGTTTTCTACGATCGACATGATCTAAATGTATGGAGGTTGTTCCATGTGCGTGCATGTATTACCTCGGTATTCCAGATGATAGCTGTGCCGTCTAACGAGCAAGATGCAAGCATAGTACCGCAGGGACTGAACTCGACGTGATTCACGCTGTATTTGTGACCGTCCATTGGACTGTATGGTTTTTCTTGAAATTTCATAGCAACGTTTACTGAATCTCCATCCTCGTCCGTTTCAACGTTCCATACGCGTACTAACTTGTCCCTAAATTATCATTACTAGAAAGGTAAAGTTTACATAACGTATGCCTCTAATAGTGGCAATAACTGATCGAATAAAATGTACATATCACGAATTCAACATTCAACCGATGTTATATTACAGGGTACTTTTCATTTTTTCCTTTCACGTTTGAACAGTTTGAGTAAGTTAATTCCGACTAACCCTGATCCAGAAGCAATAAGATGATTTCCGTAAAAAGCTACGCTGTTTACTACACCATTGTGGTCCTCTAGCCTTTGAAGTAATTTAACGTCATTGATCGATGTCTCTGCGTTTTTCATCACATCTTGTTCGTGTTTCGCGGTCTACGAAAGAAATGAGTATGTACTTTCATGCGTTACAATACGAATTTTCTTTACCTCTCCAGAATCTGTCAATAACAATGTAGTAGAAGACAAGAAGCCTCGTGCGAGTTCCGAATCGAGACATAAGCCTCCCGTTAAATCCCATATAATGACGGACTTATCGTTCGACCCTGAAGCATTGATAATCAAATAGGGAATGCATAAATGGTAAAAAAAGATACAAGACCTATCGCGACTCTTGTTTAATTTTATGTTCTGTTGTCCGATGCTTTAGTAAATAATTACCCGTCGCTAATAAATTTCCATCTCTCGAGAATGCGCAGCATGCTACGTATCTGTTGTGTCCTGACAATGTCGCCATTATTTTACCCGTGCGCTGAAAGTTAAAAAGAGTTCTAGAAACTAGAAACAACAACGCGATTTCGTTGCTACGAAAGTACTTATGTACACCCACGAGCAAACTGGGCTTTCACTATGGGAAAAAGCGGCGTAGATACTGAAATTAATGTTAAATCGAATGTTAATTTGCCATAAATTTCAGTAATTCCAAATACCAAGAGGAAGGAGCATAGTAGGAGGCCCTTCACCTACATCACTTTTTCCCCCCCTAGCGGAAGCCAACTTTGCTCGTGGGTGTACACCAATGGGGAATTAGGAAAAAAGGGGTGTAAGAGAAAAACCTCCTACCACTTGGTAAATTTATTTCAAGTACTGAAATAAATATTAAATCGAATTTGCATAAATTTCAATAATTCCCGATACCAAATTTTAAGAGGCCCTTCTCCAACGCCACTTTTTCCCCTAGCGGAAGCCGAGTTTGTTCGTGGGTGTACATACAAACATAATAGCCATACATAGACCGTTTGGAAATCTATCAATTTGTTACTGCGAGAGTCCTACCTACCGTTTCCCAGATCACCGCTGTTTTGTCGAGACTACTACTAACGATATACAATCCGTTCATATTAAAACGAACGCATGTCAAGGCACTACTATGCTTCTCCATAATTCTGCAGATTTTTATTTCGGCAGTGAACAATTCAGCCTGACACTTTGTTGTTTCTGTTACCGTCATCTCCCATAATTTCACACAATGATCGTTACCGCAAGTAACGAATTGATACAGCTTTGTAAATGGATCATTGCCTGCATAAGAAATGGCACTCTGATGTACATATATCAATTGCAACCTAAATTCAACGACACAAATATCATGTACGATGCGCATCTTTACGTACTTGTAACTTCCTGAGAAATCGAGAAATCACAAGAGACGACACCCAAATCATGAGCATCGTCTATCCAGGCAAACGCGGTAACTGTTTGTTTATCAGAAATGCACGAATCAATAATATCGGCAGTGGAAAATAACTTCAAGACCCCCAACGTGCAACACGTGATTAACCAACTGGAATCCGGTGAGAAGCACACACTTTGCACAGAGCCGTCGTGCTGTTGGAAACATCTGTACGTGGACAAGGTATGTATCATCGTTTCTTCGTTAGGTACATACACCAGAGCGCTACTCATAGGGTTATAACATGATCTCCTCCTACATGTTAACGCCATTATGATTTCCTTACCTAATTAAATTACGTCGAATCAAATCCCAGACACAGACTTGCCCATTGTCACCCGCAGTTACGAGCAACGTAGAGTCTGGCGAGAATCTGCAAACTCTTACAGCTTCTCCGCCAGTTTGAACCATGGTGTGTATCTTCGAACCTGTCTGTAGAGATCACAAGTATTCGATCACCGTTGAAAATACCACTCTCGTGTATATGTATAATTAACCGTACACCGTAATGAACAATGTGCATCATTTTCCGAAGGATTTGTTCCTCGATGTATGATTACCTACCCGTAGATTCCACAACAGCGTTGTTCCGTCTATACTGGCTGAAGCTAACATTGTCGATCGGGGGCTTACTTTCACCGACGTAATTCCATATTTGTGTCCCAGCAAAGGCGAAAAACATGCTTCCACGTATCCGCTACATGCTCGCCATTGCCAAACTCGAATGCGCTTATCTCTGAAACAATGTAGAATTTTATTATTATACATACATAGGTACATGTACATAACAAGTGTACAACAACGTCGCATCTATTTTTATTTATTCACATCTGATGATCAACGTGACAAACGTTGGTCGCGCGTTTCTTTTCTTTTTATTCCCTTACCCGGATCCAGTCACCAACACGCAATCACTGGCAAAATCAACGCTCGTCACATCGCTCGTATGCACCTTTAACGTCTGCAGAACTTGTACATAACCTATGTCGATGGTGCTACCGGTCATGTTATATACTTGTACTAAAACCAACAAGATCCCAGAGCGAAATGAACACTGAAATTCCTTAGTCCTATTCCTTCTTTCGGTTTTCTATACTCTTTTAATTATTGTTCCGGCAACCCTTGAACGAAATTGATAACTGTAATCAATTCAGACATACATATTTATAATAGGTTGTCGCATAAATTTCGGCTGGAAATAACACAAGGATGGATGTAAATATACACTAAATGTGTTGCACAACGTATTACGATTAGGAAAAACATATTGTCGAATAGAGCACTAAAGGCGCGAGACCTTGAAATTGATTAATGTACTTGCTCCGTCAACGTGGCTCTATGGTACAGGAGGATACGTATGTGTATTCCATGCCAAGTGGGTCTAATTCACCGAAACTTAATTCCTACGTTTCTAGTGGTTCTCGTTATTTCATAATCGGATAATTTGAATATGAAAAGTAGTTTTTACAAGGCTGCGAATAATTGAGAGCGTAATATATGTATATAGAGCTGACGTTAGTGTCGCCTATACTCCACATATATGTAAAAGAACAATCACTTTATTGTTTTCAATGATTTATCGATTACGTATGGTTTTCAAAATTTTCTCCTGCAACCATCTACATCCACCATCACATACGATATATTATCATACATGCCTAAATATTATTATATTCTTCGAACATGAAAACTTCGCAACGCGTACCTATACATTAAAAGTGCAAACATAATCACATTTAAATCGTTACACGATGCAAAAGTTCTGTCAGTTGCATTATTTCGTTCGTTCTTTATTCCCTTACACATTTATCGGCGTTCAGCTTTAATATACCGTATCAAAACAGAAGAAGAAGGAGAAAAACAAGAAAAACAAAGTCACCGGAGGCAAAGAAAACTCGAAACGTGTGAACAGGTTGATATGTACTTACGTTGTAGAAGGCACGTGTGTACTAAATGTCCATGTGAATCCAGCAAACTGTGTCGTCCGTTAAAAAAGTTTAACTTTGACGTATTATAAATTCATTAGCAAGCATTTCTTCGACGAGTATCACATACTGTATTCCAAAATATATTGTTAGCTACTGCGTAGTACAAGCGTTTCCGACTCGGAGCGGCTCCGCCCCGTCCGTGCGAGTTTTGCCCCCACTACGTCCTACTCGGCGACTCACCAACAAGCGTTTTCTACCTCTGTCCTCTGTCGTGTGCGCTCTGCTTCGGGTGTAAGGTGTAAGGTGTTCTCCTCTGCAAAAGTTCTACGTACGTCACGCGTTTAGGATGCGACGGCCGAGTGGCCCAAGCCAGGTTAAAAAATCCCAAGCAACCTAATAATGACGCTAAAGCGTTAAACGCATGTCTACACTTTGCCGGTAAAATCGATAGGTACTACGAGAATAGAATTTCTTTCACGAGGGTAAGCTACATACATATATGTACATATGTATACACACGTGTTTCGTAGTTGTGATCAAAGTAGACGAAATCTGTAAGTTACGAAAAGTAATAGACCGAAGACTATCTCGTTTGTTTCACATAAAATTCTTACAAAATAATCAATAAGTTTCGTTTGTAAAGAGTCGACGACTTTTATTAATAACTCACTTTAAATTCAACGTGTGTTAATGCATTGCTCAGGTACTGGTTGCAGCTTGAAATTGTAATCTCAAATATCATTTTCAAAACCATACATATACACAAATGTATTTCTTTATGCAAATACAATTTCGAAAAGCTGTACACATTTGTTCTTGCATTTTTGTGTATATACTATGTATATGTATACAGATATTTACAGATATCTAACTATTATTATTTTACTTTTAACTATCCAAGAAACAAAAATACTGCATCGGATTGCAACACTGGAAAATATGATTGAATGGATTTTATTTTCTAAAAAATATAAACTGTCATTTGTAAAATGAAGTGCTTGCGAACAAATGTGATTTTAAATAGGATCGATGCATGTAGCCAGACGCACAACAAATAACTCGACAATAACATCATGTTTATAACATTTATCGCTGTTTTCAATTATATCGCCCTCGGGAATACGGAATTCCGCCTTTTGTGTTTTTAGGTAGTCCTTGACAAAAGCAGCAAGGTTGTCAAGGATCCGGAACATCTCGCAAACTGAAAAGAATCGATAAATAATACAATAATAATTAAATAATGACGGGATCCGTAAGAAACAATCAACCTCGAGTCTTTCTGTAACTGATGCACCAGGTGCTTATGTATTTGTACAAAATCATAGGCAAATGAAGATTTGTCAATAAAATTTCAGGTCTGAGTTAGGTTATTTATTAGATACAAATTCTTAGATCCTTTTAGTTGTAAATACTGACTCTGTCTATGTGCATCTATGTCATAAATAAAATCGTTTTCATCGTAATCGATAAAAAACTGTCAAAAATGTTATCCATGAGAGGGCATTAATTTACATTCTTTAAGCTTCTGTATCTAGAGCTTTGGCGACAGAAAAGCTGCCCGTATAAACCTGAAAACATAATTAAAGCATTTCTGAATATGATATGTATTCTACAAGAATCACTATACACTTTGAAAATAGCGCAAAAAAATCAACGACGACGCCATCTCGCAGAAAGTCTCTGAAACAGTTTGTCTACCAGTTTGAACGATTTGCCACGGGTGGCGCCACCGGTCGAAAAAATAGTGGTATTCCACGATTAAATGTGATTTTAACAGTGTTCTGGTCGTTTATTGTTATTGGCAATGTTAAGGGATTAATCTACGTTCTTTAAGCTACAAATCGAGTGCTTTATCTAAACGAAAGTTATCCGCATAACGGTGTAAGAGCTGTCCTAAGTGAACTTAACGGGGTACGCATGACTAGATATAGTGTTACCCGTTGCAAATAGATATGATTTTAACAATGTTCTTGTAATTAATGGTTCCCAGCCGTTAGTGAGTATTATTCTACGTTCTTTAAACTTCGAATTTAATGCGTGACGAGGAAAAACGATGCCCGTTCAGCGGTGTAAACGTGATCGAAATCTCTGCAATTAGGGTTGCCATTCCATAAGGGGCTGCGGTAATACAGGCATAATTAATTTTATTAATTCTGGGGTTCTGTACTATTGAATCCATGCATTAAGTCCTGAGAAACAATTTGAGACTAATGAGGTTCATTTTAAGCGCTTAATTACTGAGATATTCGCATTTTTCCATCACCAGGAATTATCACTCACCTGTCGGTATGATTTGGCTAGCAGTTTGAGCGAATTGCCACGGATGGCGCCACCGGTCGAAAAAATAGTGGTATTCCGCGATTAAATGCGATTTTAACAGTGTTCTGGTCGTTTATTGTTATTGGCAATGTCAAGGGATTAATCTACGTTCTTTAAGCTACACGTCGAGTGCTTGGTCATGACGAATGCTGTCCGTATAACGCCGTGAGACCTGTCCGAATATGTATAAGTAAACGAGAGGGCTCGACGGGGCCCAATGACCCTCACGAGTAACCTCGACTTCCGCTAGGGAAGAAGTGACGTGAAGAATTCTTCTACCACTCGGTAAATTTATTTCTAGTATCGAAATAAATATTAAATTTGGCATAAATTTCTATAATTCCCAATACCAAGTGGTAAGCAGCCGTTTCCCTACGCCAGTTTTTTCCCTAGTATTTATATATGTTTGTATGATGTATTTATTAAGGACCCCGACCTTCCTGTAAGGGAGTTGCTAAAGGATTGTAAAACGCTCAGAGAGTCTGTACATATGAGGAAGGATTTGCCAGGGTGTTCTAACGTAAACTCTAGAGCTTTCTGTAGTGAAAACTGAAGCAAACTTGTTCAAGCTGATGTACTCAGCTTTAGCAAGAGATGGACACAACCAAGCTGCGCCTACAGCAAGTCTCTCTTTGGTTTTGGAACCGTCTGTGAAAATTGTCATGAGACCCGGATATATTGTGGTAATTATTATGAGAAAATCTGTGTTTATGTCAGAGCTGAGCTTGAGTGCAAGACCAGTTTCTAGATCACAGTCAGCAGCGTGGTAAAGAATTAAAGATAGATCAAGAGGAATGAATTGGCATAAATTAGTTGCTATGACATCTCGATTATTTCAGACTTTCCCAATGATATGGGCCAATAGTCTGGGTTGGGTATGTAATTTAGCTGCGGTAGGGTAGTTAAAGGAACTATGGTACTTGTAGATAATGTTATATAAAAAGTGAGAAGGGTTAGTTATGATTTTAGTGATGTATTTTGGACCTAAAAATAGGGCTCGATGTTCTATAAGAGGAAGTTTAGCCTCAGCCAGTGAGACATTATTAGGGGTAGAGTTCCTGAGGCCTAAAGCAAGCTGAACAGCAGTGAGTTGAATTTTTTCAAGCTTCTGCTTCAGGAATGAATACTTTGGAAAAATGAAAGAAAGGCAATATTCCATTCTTGAGCGGATTAGACCTTTGAAAATGGTGATTAATGTTTTGGAATCTGTACCCCAACAAGTACCTCTTAGAAACCTGATTATATTTAGAAGTTTTTGAGCAGAAGAGCAGATAGAGTTAATGGAAATTTAAGTCTTGGTCAATGCGGACACCTAGAAAATTTACTGATTGGGAGTTATGAATATAAGTGTTGGCAATGTTAATTGTGATAGAGCCAGGAGGGTTATTTAGTGTAGCTGGCGACATCAAACGGCATGCGCGTGATATTAAATGGCCAATAGCTTGGCCATTTTTGTCGCAGATGACGCCACCATTCGGTTTGCGATTTTGTAGTTGTTTTTCTTGTTCCATAGTACAATCCTAGGGGGTGCTAACGTTTCCAATGGTGGGCTAAGGGATTTTTTAAAAACCATTCGATGAATTTGAGAGAAATACAATTCAATGTAGACAATATGCATAACATGTTTTAATGGAATGAAGTAAATATTCGTTCGGGTAACTTAGTAATACTTTAATCAGCAAGCGTGCCAATAACGTTCTACCAATAGCTTTACGCTTCAGATAGTAATTTTAGTTCATCGTAGGCACACCAACTGCAGGTTCATGATATTCTACTAAAAAGAAAGGTTCATTGGAGTCGTCTCGTACGCTCCTTTAAGTAACGTTAGGTTTTCGTAGTCGTTAGGCTCACTTTGCTGTACTGAAGTTGTGTGTAATTATTTCGTGTTTACCGTGTGTAACTTAAATTTTAGTGTCAGCCAGTGTCAGCGTTACGTTCCCAAACAGAAAATCCGCAAGCATGAAGATGTGGACATCGTACCATACTTTCGAGTGAGTCTCTCGTATAGAGGTTTATTCGTTTATAATTGTCGAGGCTAGGACGTGCAAATATCTTGTAATATTTCGTTATTTGAAAGAGAATTGCTCTCGTTCGAACATACACAATTGAACACGTGGATCTTATTCAAATTCACAGTCACCCATGGGAAACAGTGGTGAAAGCAGCTTGCAGAAAGTACCCAAATCCTTGCAATCCATGTGTTTTGGGAACAGATGTCATCGACAGACGAGTCAGAGACGGTGTTCTTTATTCACACCGACTGGTCACCAGCGAATGGCGTTTCCCAACCTGGATTTCGCCGGTAAGTACCCAACTGCTACTAAGGTTATTTGCTCTACACAGTATGGAACATAACCTCTATAACTGGAGCAAAAGACAGCTATTTCCGTTTTAATTGTCATTCAGCTTAATGAATTCACTTGGACATGACTGGAACAATGCAATTATATACATAAGTTCATTAGTTGATTTCATCGTCATTTACTTATGAATATGGTTTATGCATAGAACAATATAGTACTGCATTAGTCATACATTAGGATCATTTGAACGTTTATCCGAATTATTTATAAATCTTAGTTCTCTTCTGTGTCCTATACTTGAATATTTTTGCCAGCGAATGTGACATTTTCTTATTTTGAGTACATTCCATTGCATCTTCGCCTATTGAACCGTTCAGTATTATTTGCCATTGTGCTCATTCTGTTGTGAAATCTTTAACACTCGTTATCAGTACCAGTATTATTATAAGAAATATTGATTGAAATATTAAAATCCTAAATATTTTCATTAATTTTGAGTCAAGAGTATATCCTTATATATTACTGAGTCCAAGAATAATTGACAGTTTCTGTTTGGGCCTGATTGTTCATGGTCGGGAAGATGGAGGCTGACGCATAATCCGGTAGCGATTGCATAGGTAAAATTCCATCGAGGTCATCATTCGAAATTTCCAGTAAGTTCGCTTTATTTAGTATACGTAACGGTCACGTGACCGTTAGCATCACGGCAAGGCCGCTACATTTCAGACTTGATTTCAGCGGTCGATCAGCATAGAACTTGATAATATCAACCTTGCTGAACCATATTCTCGGCTTATTGATCATCACTCCATATACTCTCGTGGAAAGGGCTACAAACATGTTCGCTACCTTTCTACTTTATCAGAACGACCTTTTCGACCTCTTCCCGAGGCGTGACCTTGACGAACTTATCAATTTATTTTTCGATCGAAATTATTACATCAGACATTACTCGGATCGCTTGTACAATATCGATCCGTATTTGCGGTACCTAACAATTACGTCTCAGCATATCACGTGCAGTTACGTCTATTGGATACATAAAAGACTGTTGGCGATGTGCCTCTACCTACGAGTCCGGAAAACGCTGTCTGGCTTTACGTAACACGATTCATTTTTACGTAGATTCTTAGCGTCATAAGATTATGAATCACGGGATCGACGTTTACGAGGTTTACGTCGTTTTGTCCATAATTCTCGAGTACTCCACACCTGTCCATGACCAGACCGTGTGGTTAATCTTGTATCCCCGAACAGTGAAGTAACTTATATAACTTGCAGGGTTCGGATCTTTCAATCTCGGGGGAAATGGTTTCACTTACCTTAATGCGTGTATCCAATTTATGAAACAGTAAAGTATGAAAAAATCCTGATAATATTTTATTAATAGTTGGACATCCAGGTTTTGGGTCGAGATTTTTAAAATCCATTCGGAATTTCTCAGTTCGCAACGATTAACGACAGAATCGACGATTGCTCGTAAGAGGTCAGCCATAATGACCGACTCGACTTGGAAGAATTCTTTCCTTGACCATTTTTCCAGGTTTTGGATCGAGATTTTTAAAATCCATTCGGAATTTCTCAGTTCGCAACGATTAACGACAGAATCGACGATTGTTCGTAAGAGGTCAGCCATAATGACCGACTCGACTTGGAAGAATTCTTTCCTTGACCATTTTTCCAGGTTTTGGATCGAGATTTTTAAAATCCATTCGGAATTTCTCAGTTCGCAACGATTAACGACAGAATCGACGATTGTTCGTAAGAGGTCAGCCATAATGACCGACTTGACTTGGAAGAATTCTTTCCTTGACCATTTTTCCAGGTTTTGGATCGAGATTTTTAAAATCCATTCGGAATTTTTCAGTTCGCAACGATTAACGACAGAATCGACGATTGTTCGTAAGAGGTCAGCCATAATGACCGACCCGACTTGGAAGAATTCTTTCTTTGACCCATATTTCCAGGTTTTGGATCAAGATTTTTAAAATCCATTCGGAATTTCTCAGTTCGCAACGATTAACGACAGAATCGACGATTGTTCGTACGAGGTCAGCCATAATGACCGACTTGACTTGGAAGAATTCTTTCCTTGACCATTTTTCCAGGTTTTGGATCGAGATTTTTAAAATCCATTCGGAATTTTTCAGTTCGCAACGATTAACGACAGACTCAACGATTGTTCATAAGAGGTCAGCCGTAATGACCGACTTGACTTGGAAGAATTCTTTCTTTGACCCATATTTCCAGATTTTGGATCAAGATTTTTAAAATCCATTCGGAATTTCTCAGTTCGCAACGATTAACGACAGAATCGACGATTGTTCGTAAGAGGTCAGCCGTAATGACCGACTTGACTTGGAAGAATTCTTTCCTTGACCCATTTTTAGTATTGCAGCATAAAACCACAATTTATAAAAAATTTAAAATGCCAGTATAAATATGACAACTTATGGTTCGAATGTCAATAACAGTTCGAAACTTATTACAGTTTTATTCTCATGTATACCGTGATCATTCCGAAAGACATTACACCGTACTACGTATAATGTGTAGATAAAAAAGTAAAATGTTAATTTACATTATCGAGAAAATTAATGTCATAAGTTTTTGTTTCAAGAAAAGATCCATCCTCCTAACCGACAAACTGGTACCAAGAAGCGTCACCCAACTTTCCCATTCTTCGTTTTCGCCTCCGTGACCATCCGAAATGGTTGATAACCGTCATGATTGTAGCACAACGTCTCATTCAATAACTTTCGGTTACGGGTTAAAGTTCGCCATAGCGAGGACAGGAGATGCAGCTTCATAATCAATCAGACCAAGAGGGGTACAATGGGCAAACAAGTTTCGTTATAAGCACGTCCCTCCTTCCAAGGTTTATTTACCCCGAAAGTTTCGACGTTGTAAGAAATCAATCCCACACACGGGGTCGTGCATCCCCTTTTCTTTGCCGGGCGCCGGTTTATAGACAAAACATCTACCCGCTTGTTTGATCGAGCAATCTATAGAAACACCCGACGACCGGTAGCGCACAGCGGGAAACTCGAAAGTTTTGGCAACGCAAGAAGAAGAAGAAGGCGGTGGCGTGGAGGCGGGAGGGCCGAGCTCGAAGCAGAGAATTACAAAACAACGACATCGACGGTATCAACTTTCATAATTCTTTCCCTCCTACCTCACGGTGTTACACTCTTTGGCAATCATCCAGCTAGACGCCTGCGTTTCGGAATACACACCGGGGTCTCTCTTAAAGCCTCTCCACCTCATCCCTGTTTCTTTCCTATCCCACGGTAGGAAGGGATGAGGAGTGGGATGGGGGGTCTCAGCTCCGAATCCTTTTTGGCTCGGCGAATTGCTTCCTTTCGCAAGGATTTTCTATAAGCTTGGCCATTTCGCAAAGCCGTTCCGTTGTGCCGGCTCGCCCGCCCGAATGCCTCGAATCACAGTTCCGTATATAACGAATGCACAGCAACCGGAAGGGCGAGAGAGGGGTAGGAGGTGGTGGATCGCGTTTAGGCACTCTTGAAATTACTTGACGGGAAGGGAATGTGCTGGAGGCTCGTTCCGATTTTAGTCAGCCTGTTCCTCTTTTCTTTTGTCTTTCTTCGACTCTTAACTGCGTTCTTGCTGGGTGACCAGTTGCTGCGACGACGAAAATTTCTGAGTAATTACACGATTCGCTGGACCATGAGGTCTGTTATTGGATCTTCGATAATTATTTTATGTTTAAGTTTATAAATGAAGGAAAATCTTGTTTTCTTTTTGTTTTAAAGGGTGAATAATATCTGCGTATTCGGAAGCATTAGTTTCTCGAAATAAGGTAAACTGGACGGTCTCGAGTGTTATGTAATTGAGATATTGTTAATCAGGGAAATGTATAATCAATTATTGGGAAGCACCGACTCGACGACAGTCGGCACGAGTTAATTATTCGGATAAGTACGTTAATTCATTAATTTCTTAAATACAATTATGGAATGACGGTGTTATTAATTAATGCGTCTGTTGATACAATCAATTATTGAGAAACATTGACACGACGACACTTGGCCCGCGTTAATTATTCGGCCTACATATAGGTACATTAATGTATTTATCTCTTATAATATTATACGATTATGCAATTACGATGCTGTTAATTAAAGTGTTTGTTGTACGATTGTACAGAATAGGCGTGAAAGTTAGTTAATTACTTAACACAATTTTCTGTAATTTATTCATCGTATAAATAAATTTCTTTGTTTTGCATTTCAGTTGTTCGGTCATCGAGGACCATGCTACGCCATTGAGTGGAGCGAAGTGAATCCAGAGGACAGAGAAATGGTGGTGAAAACTGTAAACGTAAGTACGCTTAACAATTTCACAATTATAATAATACAATTTAAAGTCTCTTAAACTTTGAATTATTAAGAACCTCTAATGCTTAACACTAAACTACCAAATCCATCAAAATGACGGATTACAGATTTACTATTTTACCATTACCTACTGAAATTACGATGGTGCCTTTGACGATATTTATGTTTGCTTTTAATTTACTGCAGATTTTCTTTTATAGTATATTATGCTAGATTCTGTATATTATTGTATTACAGAATTTAATTTAGTAGTGTTAATTATTCATGAACATTTTTAATTGTGCACACATACTTCACTTACTCGACCATACTTAACTAATTAAAATCAATCAGCTATATCATCTGTTCGTTCGTTTGATATAATAACGCGTCGATCGAAAGTGGTATCGCTATTGATCATCACTTAATTCGTATCCTCGATCGAAATATAATGCACGACGTTTAATCAGTCGAATGCGAGTTTCCATCGTGCCGGGGGCACGTTTATTTCATTACATTTGCACTTTATTACACACACATATTACTCGACAAAGTACTTTCGACCGCGCTCGCAATTTATCTTCCCGGAGCGAGATAAATTTGGGATAGGTACTCGACCAGCAAGTGTTACGTGCCAAATCATTAAATTGCATTATGGTAACGCGTTCGAACGTGGTAAATAAACGGAGGATAATTTTCCAGTAACGAACGAGAAAACGAAAAAAACAAAAAAAAAAAAAAAAAACCACGGTTTCTTGACGGTCCAATCAACCATACATTCTGTGTAAGAAGTACCCGGAATTATTAAATAAAATACAAAAAATTGATTTATTCATTAAAATTTATTTTGTCGCCTTCAAAGTAGGCCCCATCGAGTGCAATACAACTATACCAGCGCTTGACCCAATCCTTCGTACATTGTTCGTAGGCTGATTGAGGTATGGCCTTCAGCTCCTTCAGCGAATTTTCTTTTATGGCCTCAATTGACTCAAAACGCCTTCCTCGAAGTGGTAATTTTAGCTTCGGAAACAGGAAAAAGTCACACGGTGCCATATCAGGCGAGTACGGTGCTTGGTCGATAACATTCCTTGAGTTTTTAGCCAAAAAACTCTTGCACAACGATGCTGTTTTTGGAGAAAATTGAGCTCTTTCGGTACCAGTCGTGCGGCGACCCGTTTCATGCCCAAAATATCAGTCATAATGTTATGAACGGACTTAAAAGATATGTTTACCTCTTCAACCAACTCTCTAAGACTTATACGACGATTTTCGAGCACCAGCTTCTTGATTTTGTCGATGTTTTCGTCGTTCGTACACGTCGCAGGTCGACCAGAACGAGGCAAATCAACTACCACTTCGCAGCTCTTTTTGAATGCTTTATACCATTCATATGCCTGTGTTTTTGACATGCACGATTCACCGTAGGTCTTCTGCAACATTTTCAGTGATTCGGCACACGAAATTTCGTTTGAAAGACAAAATTTAAGGCAAACTCTTTGTTCAACTAAGTTGTCCACTGTAAAAATCGCAGAACACTCGAAAGTTTGGTTAACAAAAACAGCTGCTGTCAACACACTGAGTGACAGATCGCGCTCAAATTCCCACGTGGTACTCGGTACAGTGCTACCAACTTACAGAAAAAAAATTTGTGGCGATACCTTTTACGAACATCTTTCAAATGATAAATTCCGGGTACTTTTTACACAGAATGTATATGTTTGTATAGGTACGCGCGAACGAAAGACTATTTTTTCCCATCGTTAGCATTATCAATTCATTTGCCGGGTGAAAATAAATTTGATGAACGAACGGTAACACATACACCACACGTGTACACGTGTAATCGAACAATCGATATACACCCAATTCCATTCGAATCGAGATCAGCAAGGGGTAATTGGAAAACGGGCCGATGCAATTTCACCTGTGGAACTACCGGCGACCCTTTCAGCGATAGTATTTCTGCTTTTTATATTATGTCGTTACAGAAGTTCATGTCAATTTTTCTTTTGCATCCGGCGAATGTGTCTTCGATATAACGTGCCTTGATTTTAAATAACTCCAATTCGGTACCTAGGCTATCTGCGTTCTGTCGCAACCATTCCTAACAAATGAATCCCTGAAAATAACCAGGGCAAACGTGACACTCGTCCCTTTGAATAAATTGGAGACTCCTCTGGTAGCATCCGTTCGTAAAATTGCGGTACGCAGACTTTCCAGTTCGGGAGGCAGATACATTTACTCGCGTTTACAAGCTCGAGATCGCCGCGCGTCTTAGGATCGGTAGAGGGGGAGGCAGGCGGCATCGCATCGCATCGGGAAGGTTGGATATGATAGGTTATTGATGCGCGCATTACCGGCGGGAGGGGGGGGGGGG